TTATTTTCATTTTTTATTTTGTATTTATTTATTTTTTTTTCGGTTTTCGATGTTTTATTAATGTAGTAAAAAATTTTTGGGAGATTTGTTTAGGTCGCTTATTATTTTGTTTTGGTCTGGGAAGATAAAGCTATTTGTCCAATTTTTGGATTGATTGCCATAGTCTATTCTGCTATTCTGGCAGGGTGTGACACCCACTGGAGGTCGCAGCGCCAATATGTGACACTGCGCTATCGGCCAGTGGTCAACTCCCAGTTGCAGTGGAAAGCTGTAAGGTTTCTTCCACCAGTGTTTGGGGTTGACTCCTTGTCACTACCACCAGCCTGTGTCCCGGTTGATCTGGTCATTCCCGGTTCGATACCAGCTTTGTCATTCCCAGCTCACTTCCAACATCTGGTTACCGAAGTAACTACTTTGATCTTAAGTCTAACCTACCCACGTTGTGACTTTGATCTTAGGTAAACAAAATCAATCATGTGTCGGGCCGTAGTGCAAGCTGAATCCGGGGTGAAGGTGATATTGTACAAGCGTAAATAAAAGAAGCAATAAAACAAAACTCAAGAGGTTCAAATATGTTGTGAAATAACAAATTATCTTTATCCGTCTGTTATATACAGGTATGTGTTTGTCTCCCAGCCTGTTTCTATGGATTCGTGACACTTTTTGCGTTTCTTAAGCAAGTTTTGGTATCTTAAGCCGTTCATCAATATAACTTGCATTTGGTAGGAAGTCAAAGTCGGAAGGACGTGGAATTTGTCGGTCAACTTCTGCAACTTTGTCCGGAACTGAACTCTGACTCCAACTGCAAATCAACTCCCAAACTGCCCGGGGACATTCGTTTATATGGACAATGACCAAAATCCAATGTGGGGCCTGACGTGGTTTGGGTTCCCAACAAGAATTCTCTTTGTTCTTAGGCCAAGAAAATTAAATACTTCCCATTTTTGGAAGATTAATCACTTTCCATTTCGGGTGTTTCTCCCTCGTCCATGAGGGAAGGTTGGAGGAGATTTATCCTCCTAGACTCTTCCTCTCTCACATTGGTATCTCATACCAATCCCCTCAGTGGGTGTTAACAACTTCTCCGTCTTTCTCATACATTCACCTCCACCTATCACCCATGCTACCACTTGACCAATGATCTCTCGGCAGCATGGGTGTGGCTAGACTGGCCCTCTTAAAATTATTATCCAGAATTTTGTTTACAAAATCCTTTTTTCCTTCGGCTAAAACATTTTTTTCACAAACCCCAGATGGCCAAATAGTTCTCATCACATCTTTCTTTTGGGGACACCCAAAATTCACTTAGTCAGGTCTACCGACTCATCGATCGCTATCAAAACCCGACATCTGGCTTCTTTGCTGAGTCAACTTTTAACTGGGAGGTCTGTGTTTTACCTAAGAATCAAATTCTTTATTTTTCTCATGCCTTAAAATCCTCTTATCACCCAATGCCCATTTTCGATGATCCTGTGTCTGACGTCAACAGTTTGAAAAAGTAATAATATGATTTTCTTCCTCATGCCAGAATTCTAACACATACCAGATGGTTTCCCTTCGTTGGTCCAAGAAACCAAAATTAAATGATATCTCTGAAAGATAACTAATATCGATTCTTTCTGTCTGTATCGCGGTTGTCCTAAATTTTTTTATGACCGCCATGTGTCAGCTGACATTGTTTTTGTTTCTGAATTCTGTTTCCCTTGTCGCATCATTCCTTTACCATAACATTAATCAGTTTTGACAATCTCATAAGTCACTTTTTCTTACGGATTTTCTGTCTCGTGTGAAAAGTATCTTTCTTCGTAAATAAAATAAAATCTTCTGTTTAACGTCACTCAGTCTATCTTTCAATATAGCTCTTTCTCGCCTTGTCTTTCCTGTTTTTAATTTCTATGGTTAATTAGTTAGCCAATTACCATAGCCAAAAAGTGTCACAAGGGGACAGTTTTTAATTTGTTTATTATTTTCTTTATTTATTTGGATTGATTATTTTTACTTGTTTTTACTTATTTATTAGTTCTAACAATTATTTTAGCAGGAGCAATTTGTTAATTTATTTACTTATTAGGATTAATTTTTTCTTATTTGCTTATTTTTTATTTTGTATATATTTATTTACTCTATTTGGTTTTCGACTTTTTTTTCGTTATATAGCAGTTATAGCTATTTTCTCATCCAATTTTTGGATTGACTGTTGTAGTCTATTCTAACAGTTATTGGTTTGTTAATTTGTTCATTGTTTACTTTATTATGATTGATTGTTTTTAGTTATATTTTATGTGTTTATTTTTTATTTGTTCTATTTTGTCTCTTCTAACGGGAGTGGTTTAATTTGTTTATTATTTGCTTGTGTTAATTTATTTTACTTATTTTTTATATTATTTTGTTTATTTATTCTTTTCAGTTTTTGATTTTTAAGTAGCATAGTAAAAAATTGTTTTCATGTCTGCATTTTCAGATGAGCTCAGATCGTTTATTAGTAATTTATTTTGGTCTGGGAAGGTAATAATAGCTATTTTTTCCTCCATGCAGAGTTTGCCGGTTTTGGATTGATTGTTGTAGGCTGATGAACTTTTCCTTATTTTCCATGATATTTTTGGTGTGATTTGCATTTTGTTTTTAACTTCCCAGATATACTTAGAAAGCACGTATTTACTATTTGTGAAAGATGTTTTGTGTTCATAGTTTCTTTGTTTCCAGGGTCCTTCAGTTACTCCTATATATACTTTTTCTTCATTATCTGGTGATTTTACAGTAGCTTGGTATATTACATTGTTTTGTAAACAATTACCATTTAAGGGACATTCATTCTTTATTCCACAGTTACACATGGGTTTAATATGTTTGGGTGGTTTGTTGATAATTTTCCTGTTGTGCTTTTTTATTATTTGTGTCATGTTCTTGGTGCAACTGTAGCTGATTTTTACTGTGTTTTATTGAATATTTTGTGTAGAGTGCTTGATTCTGGGAAGTGTTTGTTTAGGAGTTTGAAGAATATTTTACCTACATTTGTTTTTATGTTTTTGCTGTACTGTGGGTTGAACCATATGATATTTCTCTTCCTGTTGGCCTTTTTTGTGCTCTGTGCTGAGTGTTGCTGGGAATCCACTATCTTTTAAGGCTGTTTTGTAGTCTTTCCTAGCTTCGTTAAATATGGTTTCATTGGAAGAAAAGTTAGTCTTGAGTTATTTGTAACACACTATGTCAAAGGACAGAGTCGCAACTGAGGAAAATTATACTGAGAGGTGCCCAGTTGCCTGAGGCTGCGCCCTCTCATTGCACCAGAGAGAGGAATTGGGGCTCGCACCAAGGCCAGCACAACTGATGGTTGCAGGGGCTGCAGGCAATTATTGTTCCTGGCCTAGATCTAGGCGCTTGGGTCCCCACCTTTAAAAAAAAAAAAAAAAGACCTTGTGTCACAACTCGTCTTAGTGGGGAGACAGAATAAATACCTAGTTTGTAACACATTACTTATCACCTCTCAATTGCGTCTTTGGCTTTGGGCAGAGTATTCTCAGGGGCGACTCTATCAAAGGACAGAGTCATAACTGAGGAAAATTATACTGAGAGGTGTCTAGCCCTGGGGAACAGCTGCTTGAGGCCATGCCCTCTCATTGCACCAGAGAATGGGATTGGTACTTGCAATGAGGCCAGTGTAACCGACGGTTGCAGAGGCTCAGGGAATTTTTGTTCCTAGCCTGGGTGTACTCACAACTTTGTCAGGGTTCAAGTACCAAATTACTATAAAGTAGAGCTGGGGCATTTTAATTTCATAATTCATGGGAGAATTGAGCTCCAATTTTGCATTTATTCACATAGATTCCATAATATAGGTTTTACTTGATTAGCTATTATGCTTCTCTAACTTTTCTAATGTTGAATGTATAACTAATTCTAATTTCTATTTTCCCATCTTTACACTATATCAATTTTATCTTATAAATTGTCCCCTGTTCTGTCATCCATGAAATAAAAATAATTGTTTGTATGGAAAATAAGGATCTATGTAAATCAAATCGTCTTTAAATTAAGTGACAGCAGAAGAATTATCATTGAACTTTTAAAAGGTAAACATTAATTCAGTACTTAAATGCAGCGATCAATTTTAAGTTCTGTAGTTTATTGATGCCTATTGCATCTACTCCTCCCTGATAGGGTGGCTTTTAAGCTAGCTGCAATTTGGGATACAAAAGGAAAGTAAGAGTTACTCCTCTTAAACCATGAAAGCAACAATAATGGCTTGTATGATATATTAATATATATTTTTAACCTTGCATAATCTGGCAACCTTGAATCCGAGCTCAACAATTTCTTCCCTGCACCTAACTTTTCTAGGGCTTTTAATGAGTTATAAATCATTGAAATTGGACCAGTGGGAGTGAAGGAGTTGCTTGGACACACACATGCACAAACACACATACATACACTGTACTTTATATATAAGATTCAAAGAAAAAATATTACAAGCTGACTATTACTAATCTGACATCATTGGGATGGTTATGTTAGAATACACTTAACAACTAACCACTTCATCCTACCTTTAAAATACCCTGTAAATCAACATATGTTAGTTAATAAAGAAAAGAGAAAAATTGAATGAAAATCATGTTCTACTTCATCTGTTATGGACAATATATAGTGTTTGTGCTTTCACATCTTGAGAAGAACTTCCTGTTTTCATTGGAGTTATGACTAGGATTAAACATTAATAGGTTATAAAAATGCAGAAAAGAGTAAAAATGCTTTAGTAGTATTTGAAAGTACTCAAAGGCAGCAGAACAGTAGTGGCAGGTTTATGTAATGACATGGGAAATTTGAAATTACTTCTAGATTACAGATTGTATTAAATTTCTAATTGCATTTCATGTTCCTTCTATGACTAGTATCATTTTTGTTCTCTATTCTCTATTCTATTTTGTTCTATTTTGGTTTTCTTTATTACTTTCAATATCAATTTTATTAACTTTTTGTTTCTATTTTTCTATATATTTCAGAGGAGTTCTGAAATAGAGAAATTAGCTTTCTGGTGGAAAGATGATAACAAGAAGGAGATTAAATGGACTTTTGGTGACCTTCAGCGGCAATCAAATCAGTTAGTTTTGAGGGTTTTTTATCTTAACACTTTCCATTTTGTATACAAATTAAACATTTAATTTCAGTGTTTTGAAGAATAATTGCAGTTATCTAAAAAACAAAGCTTTTTCTTTTATATTTCATTTAATAGCCTAAAAATCTATTAAGATAAACTACCAGTTGTGTTACTGTATATTTGATGTATCTATCGTAGTTATTTTAATGGCCATATCATTTTATATAAAATCCATTGAAGCATGACTCAGATTTAATGAACAATGTATTTCTGTCAGTTAGCTCCAGGAAATACCTGATCCTGTCCTGATTTACCTTTACAATCGTCAGATTAGAAAAAAAAAAACTTGAGTATTGTTGCGATATCTTGACAGGAGTTGCTCAATCCTCACTTTCAAGCTTTGATAAAGTTCAAAATTGTTTATGCAGTCTTGTAGATAAAGACCTATTCTTAATTCTGCAGCCTGTTTCCAACAGGAATAACATTGCAAGCCTATCACTATTTTATTTGCTATTTCCATGTTCAGATGAGCTCCATCCTCTAATTCCATCAGTTCAGACCTTTACAGTTAGAGCATAACATACTAATTCCACAGAGTTGAATCAGCCTCATTTCCTCCATATTCCAAATGTAAAGAGGACATCCCACTCAGACAGCCTTTCCCTAAGAACTGCTGTTTTGTGTAACAAACTCTCACATGGATGCTTTCTGGAACACTACAATCTTAACCTCTTTAAGTTATCCTCATTCTCATAATCTCCATTTCCTACCACCTGCTTTTTCATTCTTATCACACACAATCATCATAACTATCTTAACAATAACCCACTACCTTGAGGCACTCTCGAGCCTTGTATTGGGTGACCTTTAGTATAAAAAATTTACCTGATTTCAATTACATCAACTCTAAGTTTCTTACATAATACACAGGAAAAATAAAGATTTTAACTCCACATTCTAAAAGCATATGTCTTATCAATGAAGGTGGTGATTAAAGTATGTACTAAAATTACATTTATTATAAATACAGAATGCATAACTACATTAGCTTTGTATAATGTATATGTTTAATCATTGTAGAGACAAAATTATGGTGAATGTTGTATTTTTAGAATTAAATATTCCTTCCTTCTTCCAAGTTCTGCTACAAGAAAAATTGAAAAGTTCTTAGCACAACCCATTCCCCAAAATGTAAACAAATCACCAAACATTAGAGTTTATTTTTGAATTCCTTTTTCATCAAACTGAGAACTTTCCAACACCTCTTGTATTCTTCTTTTATGTACCATGTTCTTTCAGGCTGTGAGCAATCATGGCTCTCCATAAGTTCCTGCTTTTTGTGTTGCTCTAAGTAACTTTTGACTATTTACCATCCCTCTTTGTACTTGTTCTGCAATCAATTTAAACAAACTTGTTAAGTTGGTTATTTGTTGTTTTCCTCTACTTCTCATGGTTTCCTGTGAGTGTTAAATTCTCGAAGCCCTCTTTCCTCGTTATGTGTCCCAGAAATTTCATCAGTTTTTTTTTGGAGGGGGAATTGTAAGTATTAATTTCTTCAAGTTCCTGTTTTCCTTAAAATTTCCTTGTTGCTCACATGTTCTATCTAAAGTATTCTCAGCCTTCATTGGTAGAACCACATTTTGTTCATTCTTCACCTGTAAGGAAATTGTCCATCATTCACTGGCATATAGGAGTTTAGATATTGCATAGCAATTTTTAGCACACTTTTATTAGTTTCTAAGGATATTTTCATATCTCTTAATAGTTTGCTTAGTTTCTGGGCACAACTTTCCCGACTACTATATATGTCTTCAGATTTCTCTGTTACTGCACTACAAATAGTTAAATTTCTACACTTGCTTGATTCTGATGTTCCCAACAGATAGCTCATACCTTGATCTGTCTTTTTTTTTTTTACTGTCTTCTTATAGTTAATTGTCTCTTCCTGCTTTCATTTACTACCCTGTAAATTACTACCCTAGTTTTCCTTTTTATAAGGGTTGATGTTTTGTTTTTTTTCAATTTGTTTTGACATCTTTTAAAATAATTCACATGAGGTATTTACCTTTGGTTTTTCTCTTCCTAAAGTTTTGCTAATCTATATTTTATTATGTATTAACTCTGCTTGATTTAAATAGATTATAAATTTATTAAAAATTTTACAAGGTTTTCAACTTATATTGCTTTATAACATTTTAACAAAGCTTTAAAAAAAACAAAAAAAAACGGCAAAATGTTTTTCTCACAGAAGAGAAAAAAGAAAATTTATCTTTTGGAGATAATGATACAGATCATGTTGAAACACCAGTTCTCATACGATCACCAAAGTTAAGCAACATTGAACCTAGTCATTACCTAGGTGGTGACTGCTTGGGAATACCAAGTGCTGTAAGCTTGGATGTGCAGGTAGTGTAATGGATAAAATCTCAGCATGAGAAATTGGAGAGCCAGGTTCAAATTCCAGTTGGGTTTGTTATATTCACTTACATGCCCAGTTATAGGTTATTATGTCAAAAAATTCTTACAATCCTAAAACATGTTTTGGTTTTAAATAACCTCAAAAAGGTTGGAAAGCTGTTAAAAACAAATCAATCAAATGTACAGCTGTAGAAAGAGAGTGAAATAAAGTGCAAAACTAAGAAACTTTATAAAATCCTGAAGGAAAGATTGTGAAAATAATAAATATATATCAATTTTTTGCTGTTTTGTTATTTGTTATAAGAGCCTTCTCTGGAACATGGCAAAAGAAATTAAGGAAATGAAAAATCCTTGATGTAAAACTCAACATCATCTGATTCCTAAATTTGTGTGTTATGAAAATAGATAGGTTGAATGTCTTAAGTGGAGTGCTGAATCAGTTCATGTAAATATTTTTGTAATGATATTTTCTGTAGATGATCTGTAAAAAAGAAGTTTCCCTGTGATTAGATTACAGTCAAATCACACTGAAAGCACCAGTTCTTGTTTGCTCACTGAAGTTAGGCAATGTCAAACCCAGTCAGTACTTAGATGGGAACACAGAGTACTGTGAGCAAACTTTTACAATCTTAAATATGTTTTGGCTTTAAATAACCCACAAAGTCAGTAAAAAAACAAATCAGTCAATTCCTTGCGATAAAACAGTATTTGAACATTGTACATTTATTTTATAGATACAAAATATTTCATGAATAATATATACACACATGTAATTATGGATAATATTTTAGAACCTACAATGCAAGAGATAAATTTAAACCTTATCAGCTGAACAGGTACAAATCATTGTTACAACTACTTTAAAAACAATAAAAAACTTAATTAGCACAAAATAATAACAACCTTATACCTGAAGCAAGAATTTACAAAACAGACTAAAAAATGTCCCAAGTGAAAACATCTAACAATTTAAGTAAAAGATTACATGAATACAAAAGGGATCTTCTACAAGGCAATATATTCAATGCATTTGTCATCATAATAGGTCCAACCATAGTTTTAACTTAGTATGCAGCTTTAATTAAGAGAAAAAATAATTTATTAAGGCATAAATGTGTGGCACCATTTACAAGGCAGAGAAAGAAAGAGAAAGAAAGGAAGGCAGAAAGAAATGCGAGGCGAATCGTAGGTGATAAAACAGCCACACACATGGCCTAAGAGACAATGAAAATATTGATAAGTAACAAGTGAAAAAAAAGTGTCATTACAATGACAGGGAATTTCTGAGTAAAAAAAAGAAAAGGAAAGAAAGAAGGAACTAGATGTGTTTTGATAACAGCTATGTTATCTAGGGTAATTACACGAATGGCTGGACCACTGCCCAGGAAAAATTCAAGTGAAAATGCTATTTATTTAAGGACGAAAACAGGACACTAAAAAGGACTTTTGGACAGATATGAAAATTAAATCCCACCCAAGCAGTGCAGCTGACTGAATTCTTTTCGACCAAAAAACAACTTTGCCTCATGATAATAAAATTATGTTATCAGACATATGTAATTCAAGGAAAATGAATGGGAACCAGAAGTGTTTTTATTTCTTCCTTGAAGGCGACAGACTGACTGAAAATTTTGTGGATATTTTTTTCTGAACCCATATCGAAAAACCAACCATCTCGATAAATTAGCGATAAACTACCTGACAAACACCATGTGTAAAACAAGTGATGTCATATTGTCCGTTCGTGGCTAGAGAAATGATAACGGCGATTTGAAAGGAAGAAAAAGGAAAGAGAAGAGATAATTAATTCAATTTTAGTTAAGCAAGGTATTTTTTTTCCCGAAACAAAGCCACGGATTGTTCACGCTCGACTAAGACATCATTGGTCAAGTGGTGATCACGTGGCGCACGAAGGAGGAGGAAAGATACCCGACCAAGACCTCATTGGCCGGGAGTGATCACGTGACACACGAAGAAGGCTGTCAACGCCCCATCCAGAGTATAAGTATGAGAAGCTGCTACGAAGAAGTGGGGAGGGTAGTTCACGCCCTTCAGAGGTATGGTGAGAAAGTGGGAGTGAAGAGGGGTTACCAAAAATTGAAAAGAGTGGAAAATCCCTAACCAGAAATAAAAGAGGTGGATATGTATTTAGAATTATCAAGAAAACCCCCGACGCCAACAGACCCAACCCGGTTTTTGTCGGTGTCAATAAAAGCGAGACCCCAACAGGCAGAAAACAGTTCGGGCTCTGGCGGCAGAGATGAGTATCCAGAGTTCAGGCTCTGGTGGCAGAGATGAGTATCGAGAGTTTAGGGCTCGAGTTTCCAGAGTTGAGTTCCCAGAGTCAGTCTCCAGTTGAAACCGCCTCGAGATAGCTGACCAAGATTCACGCAAAATTCTGGACTCCTCTTCAACCCAAAAACAATTATTTTGAAGAGTGACTTAGAACCAGACTACCGAAATAAGTTTTTTTTCGACTTTCGTCCGAAGACACACCAAAAAACCAATTTCTTAGAGAGCAAACAACTTGAAGCGTTAAAACTTGCCTAACGGAAATTGACGTGTCACAATCCACAGAACGGGTCGGGAGATAGATGCAGTCCTATGTATTGAACAACTAGACATAAAGTTTGTTACCTTTTTCTTTGATACTTTGAACTTTTTGAGTTTTCATTTTATTTTCTTTTATGCATATTTTTGTTCTATCACCCCCGTTGAACTCAGTTTGCATTACGGCCCCAACCACTGTTTGATCTCGTCTGCCTAAGATCAATTCACAACGTGGGTAGGCAGACTGGAGATCAATGCAGTTACCTTGGTAACTAGGCGTTGGAAGCGAGTTGGGAACGACGAGGCTGATATAAATTCTAACCAGATTCCCAAATAGCGAATCACCAAGAGGTTAGAAAAAAACATTTGGGTGCCGCGACCGATACCAAGCCAGTTGGTCGTCACAGGACGAGACAACACGACGACTTGACGCGACAGGCGGACGTCACGTTTGGAGCAGCGACACTCGAACGGAGCAGCGAGGAGCGAACAGCTGGCGCCACGGCGAAGACGTCACAATTGGTGCTGTTTAGAGACGTCACAACTGGTGTCGTGACCGGGATAGGACCCTGGAACGGCCACGTCACAACTGGCGCCGTGGTAGATCAGGATAGAACGTAACAGTTGGCGCTGCGACCGGGGGACGACGTCACAAATGTATTAAAAGTACATTCATTTAGGAATCTTCTACAGGTTGAATTATATTGATGAAAAACCATTATTTTGTCTTTAAATGTTTAGGGATCATTAATTTATGAGCATCATTAACAAATAACACACAGAAACACATCTTTTTTTCAAATTCTGTACTGCATTTACATGGGTTGATAGCATTTACTTACCCACCATACAGTGGTAGCATGTAATGCAAGGTCATTTTAATGTGGAGGGATGTACATACAGGCTAAAGATAAAAATTCTCCAGTCCCTACAACTATTGTCATGTTTGCTTCAGTATCTACCAATTGTCTTACTACCAATCCTCTCTTTAGTGCAATGAGGAAGCAGCTGCTAGGCTAGAATCCCTGACACAGACTAATGTGGTTTATTAGTTAAGTTATTGAGCACAATAATAATGTTCAAAATATCATTCAGTTGATGATTGGTTTAGATAACATTTTTTTTTCTAAAACATTTTAAGCAAAAAATATGCTCTTTCATATAGAATGAAAATTAACAATGTTCAGTTAAATAACAAAATGCTACAACTGAATATGAACAATATTTTATGATCAAATTCACCAATAAATTTATACAAATATATTAAATTATTGAAATGACATTGCTCTCTATAATTTTTGTCTTTATTTTAGAGTGGCCAATATGTTGTCAAATAAGTGTGGTCTGAAAAAAGGTGACCGACTTATTGTCATTTTACCACGAGTTCCTGAGTGGTGGCTTATCAACCTTGCTGCTATAAGGGCAGGTAAGAGGTGCTATTTTCTTTTTTTTTTTTTTTTTTTTTTAGTCTTAAAGTATTCAGGATAAAGTCAAATTCAGGCTTATCAGGAAATATTAGGTGATGTGGCAAAATTTAGCAATTGTACCCACAAAAAAAACTGTGTCAAAAGCAAAGTTTTTCTCATGAAATCACTGTTACTGTATACACCCTCTGAAATTTTTACTGTTTTAAAAAGCTACTTTCAGAATTTTTATAAAAAACTTAAACATATGAAACTGGATTCTCTCTTTTCTTGAAAATTGATAATAAAAGAATTGAAAACTTTTTTTTAATTTTATTAGTGTTTATTTACAAGTTTATAAAAATATATGAACCAACTGCATTATTGTGAAGCTACCGACCTCTGCAACTCGTTGCACAAAGATATAGATCCCACGTTGTAGAATTTCTGTGCGGTGGATCAAACGAGAGACAGGCTCACAGGCAAAAGAAAAACACAACTACAAACTTGGGTAGGACGAAAAGAGGAGGGAGGGCGTGTGACCTTTTGTGGATAATTAACTCTGGGCTGATTCTCGGCTGGCAAAAAAAATATATATCTTAACTAACAATGTCTGGCTGCTAATGTGTCGCTCTTCGTTGTTACTTGCTCCGCCTGAATCAACCTTCCTAACCTAAACTAAGTCTCCCACGAAACCCAAAAGCGCCCCGTATATATGCAGGGTCCTCTTTCATCATTTCCGGCAAGGGACACCCACGAATAAATCCATAACTTTTTCATGACCATTTCTCCCTTTGAAGAAAGTGGACATAAAAATATTTCTTAGCCTAGCTGACTCCGATTCTGGGACATTAAATTCAGACCCTTTTAAGTTTTGACCAGAGCCGGTCTTTTAACTATCTTCATATTTTGACAAGTACTTAACACTTATCTACCCTTTTGGCCATATGTCCAAAAAATATGTTTTTATCTAGATTCCTAATCTAGTCATTGGGTCTTGAAGTTTGATACCCAGGTCAAATCTAACTAATCTTCTCGCATATATAAAAGTGGTCACCATGACACACAGATGTGTTTGTGTATATATACACACACACAGATGTGCGGGCGCACACACACACACGCGTGCGCATATATCCAACTCATAGTGTCACATTATACTATAGAAATTATTTTTAAAAAAATTATTCCTAAATTTATAAAAATGTCAAAACAAAATTTGCTCTATAAATTCACTAAAATAGATTGTATGCATCTGAATTTATGCTATTTTTTTCTTGAGAATTGACAACAAAAATGTTAAACACTATTTATTTACAAGAATAATGTTTAATTCTTTTGTTGTCAATTCTTGAGAAAAAAAGATAATGCATAAATCCAGTTTCATATGCTTGGATTTTATTAAAATTCTAAAAATAGCTTTTTAAAGAAGCACAAATTGCAGAGGTGATATACAGTAATAGCAGTGTCAAAAGAAAAAAAATTGTCCTTTTGACATCGGTCTTTTATGGGTATGTATGTTAAACATTGCTGCTAATGTATTGTAAAAACATATATGTAACTGAGGCCTGCCTCGTCACTGAAATAATTATGTATTTCCCACCAGTTCTAGTGGTCGGTGATCAAGCTCAATAAAAGCCATGATTTCCTATGCTAATTTTCAAGGTCAGCAGCTTCTCTCCACTTAGAAGATTAGCCACAAGCAAGCTATCTCCATTTGTTTTTTTTTTACACTAGTAATGTAACAGATATCAGCACAGACAATGAACCAGTGAGCAGAGTTCAAATTCCAGCTTAGTCTGTTGTGTACATTTTCACACAAATGTCCTTGGCAAAGGCACAAATTCATCTCTTCTTCTTCTCAGCTATTAGTTAAATAGTAAAATAGATTGAGCTCTCTAACCTTGTGCAGCAACCAGTCTAAAACTGGATTTCAAACCTTGGGGAAGACAATGGGAAATCACTTCACTCTTTTTTCAAAGAAGTTATGGCAATTCACAGATAATAAAGTAAAGGAGACTGTGGAAAGCCCTGATCATCTACCTCTTAATGGGACATGGTTTTATTAAAATTACATAACTGTTATTACATGTTATCTTATCACAGCAGAAACAGCATTTTGTAGTCCAATTTTTGTGAGTGCAGCACCTAAAAAAAGAAAGCGATTTTCAGTTCAATCAGGTCACCAGTTTGTGAGTAATTTTTAAGTAGTACCAACTGACAAAAACTATCTGTCCAAGGGAGAAAACTTCAGGTTTATCAACTGCTAATTAGTTATTTTCCTAAGTTTTCTTAATATGAAAATAAAAGGAATAAGCAAAGGAAAGTAGGAAAATTCTTGAGCTATCTTTTCCATTGGCTATAGTGACATTATATTTTAATAATAACCAATAATAATAAGATTAGTTATAATTATAATTTGCAAATGACAATGTACAAATTTTATAACGTGATATTACACTAAGTGGAGCCTGCTGAAAGTAGCATTTCAATGAGTATATTTAAATATATAATATTACATAATGATAGTAAATGTCTATACATATTCTGTGTGTATGTATCACAGTAAAGTTGAACTATTAATCACACTAGGAAGACTTTTGGTTCTGCATTATTTTTCTTTACAGTTTAAATTTATGAAAATTTAGCTTTAATTGTAATTTCTAACTTATGCTTTTGAAATACATTCCAGTATGAAGTTAGAAATAGATTGCCATTTCCACATAGAATATGTTCTTTGATAAATTAGTAGTTTGAAGATTTCTTGTAAATGCTAAGTTTAAAAATAATTTATTCTTAATCACTCAGTATATTTAGTTTCAGAAAAATATAGTTTCTGGTGTTTTAGTAAAATTTAACACTTATGTACTTATATATACATCAGTGTAAAATTTTGCTTACACAAGTTGTGACAATTTAATGACCTTGTGATAGCAATGTTTGCTTACCTGATCACTGTTGGCTGCTGTCACCTTCAAAGTACTCCCCCTGTGAAACTACACACTTTGTGAGATGAAGTTACCATTGCTGGAAATATTCTCAGAACTTGTTTTCAGAGTCTTTTTCAATAATGTTGCTGGGTGTCAGTAAATCTTTATCCTTTCAGGGCATTTTTCACATTTGGGAATAGCCAGATATCACAAAATCTCTTGAATAATGTTGAGGGTCCATTGTTGTAATGGATTTCTCAAACTCTTAACACATCTTTCACAAACAAACTCTAAACATATCATGTGAAAGAGAATTGTCATAGTTCCTCTATTCATATTCAGTTTTTCTATCAGTCACACACTTAATCTTAACAAGGTTTTCACTTTATCAATATTTGTTCTTTCTGTTACGGACTTCCCAATTTTTACATCATTGTGTACATTTTCTCACCTGTGCTACTAAAAATATTCATTTTCTTCATAGCATGTTCCCAATAAGCCATTTTCAATAAGGCTAACATTTCACTAACACTTCTACCAATTTCCACACAAAACTTGATGTTAATCCATTGCTCCAGAGTCCTTTTACTCATTTTTTGCCAACAGTATAACATGAACATGTGCAACTTCCACTACTACTTAGTAACAAATGAGTGTGTTGCCTGCATCTCAAGAGAGTGCAAGCTGGAATATGTTCAAACATGCTCAGGTATAAATGTTTGCTTGACTCATTACTCCAGCAACAAGCTGCAGTCATTCCAGGAATTAAATTCTTATTTTCACACCTCATATATTCAATTAACTTTTGACATATATATATATATATATATATATATAATGTATATACAGGGTGTGGTGGGTAAATTGCCACTATTTATATTTATACTCATATATGTTATTTGTTTGTAAGTTTGTTGTTAATTTTCTGCACATATTGTAGGGTCAGAAATTTGTAAACAACATGCTGTACTGCTTGCCATTTATGCCAGAAGCTCCAATACGAACATTTCAGAGTGTTTGTGTGTCAAGGACAGTGCAGAGGATTTGGAAAGAGTTGGATGAGTCTAATGGTAATTATGAAGGTGTGACAGCTTGGAAAACTCGCTCTGATCATTTTGATAAGAATAGAACTCCCAAATTTGTTGGTGAAATCCAGGTCATAATTGAAAGCAAACCCTCCAAGCCAATCAGGTCCATAGCCAGGGAGGTAGTGGTGCCTTGGGTCAAGTGGGTGGCTGCTGGAAGAACCTATATCTGGCAACAGGATTGCACCTTGCCACACAAGCAGGAGAACCTAGTCAAAGTTGTCAGATAATTTCTATGACCACATCACCCCTTACATTTGGCCACCTAACTACCCAGACTGCAACCCTCTTGATTATTGTGTGAGGTACAGTTGATTGAGATACCAACAAAACTCCTTGTAACACTAAAGATGAACTGAAGGCAAGGATTATGGCAGCATTCACCAACTTAAACAAGGAGATTGTTCAGAAGAGTTGCAGGAGATTCCAAAATCGTTTGAAGGCCATGTAATTTTGGTAAATATATCTATTAAAATGAGTTGTCAGTATTATTTTCATTTTTGCATAATTTAGATGATAATTTATCCACTGCAACCTGTATTAGTTTTAAGCACTACAGATAGTTTACTTCTGATTTTTTATGATAAAATCTTTTTCTTTTGTCTATGTACATTTTATATAGGTTTAATTCTCAGTCCTGGTACTACCCAGTTGAGAGCAGGTGATATCCAACATCGCCTGCAATTATCTGGAGCTAAATGTATCATTGCAGATAATTCTACAAGAGACTTGATTGACCAGGTAATCTAAAAAAATTTGAAGAAATTTTCTTTTCATTTTGATGTACTGCAAAAAAAAAATCTCATTTTTCTTCCTAAAAAAGTTATTCTTAATTGTATTCAGCTTGCTTGAAAATGGTGGAGAATATTATGAAAAAAAATTCAGCATGATGGTTATTTAAATTTTATTTTCTAGGGTGTTTAAAAAATCTAAGTAAATTATTTTAAAATTTTGGCAATATGTTAACATTCAAAAAGAAGCTCTGTTTTATTATTGATTTTTTGTGTTGTTTCTTTCTCATTTTTTGTTATTGAATCTGTATTATTTTTCTAACATTCTTTACTTAATCATCTTATTTTTCTGATTTGATGGTAATTTGGTTATTTCTCTTAAAGGTTGCTGGCAAATGTCCTGACTTACTGTACAAAATCTATTTAGGTCCAAAATCTGACACAAGGTAAGTTATTTATGGATGTTAATTAATCAAGTAGTAACTCCAAGTATTCAAAGAAAAAGTTTTAAAATATAATTTTTAGTTATATGCAGAAAATATTTGTGTATTGTTGTTATTTTTATTTTTAACAGCAAATTATCTAGCCAATGTGCTTTCCAGATTAATAATTTTGCTGAAACGTTTATTCAGATGAACTGTAACAATTTTTGCCTTGTCTGCAAAGAAACTTATGGTTTAGTATTATCTTGATACAATATCACACTCCTTTTAACTAATTTCAGATAATTTTTATTGATTGCTGTTTTCAACTGGTCTAATTGTTTGCTTCTCTGGATAGTGCTCAGAGTAAAGGATTCCCTACTAATTCCACCATAGAGACAGCAGCATCATCTTTGGATGATGCCTAGCTTTAATGACAGTTAATAATGGTTCATTTCCCTTTCTCCCTACAATCACTTGCATTTCACATTGTTGTAAAGTATTTACTTTTCACTGTGAAGCACAATTATCAGGATTTATACCAAAATAAATAATGATATGAGACCCGGCGGACGAGCAAGTGTATATGTGTGTTTGCATACTTCATCGGGTGTACGGACATGCATCTATGTTTGCATTAGCATGAGTGACATCACGACAATGATTACCCCCCCCCCCCACTCCCACTTCCATAATAACACCAATACACACAATCTACAAGAGTGAAAAAAAAGGGTCACCATTACTAGGACTTGATATAACCTATGTTTAAACAATGGCTTGATGTGTTTTGTTTTGTTTTTAACACCCTGTGACCCAGGTGATGACAACAACACTTAGCAGCTGACATTGTTTTTTTCGATGCATATCTTTCATATTTCCCATATCCGGGTCATTTAGCCGTTCCTTTTATTCAATGATGTTCACGCCAAATGAAAGATAAAGGAATGAAGTTTGAATGATATTATTTTGAAGCGAAAATAAATATTTTTTCATAAAAAAACGGTGATTTTTCTCAGAAAATTGGGCATAATTTCTTAATGCTAACTGCTGAGCAACATTTTCCACAGCCAAATCGAAGATTAATTACCAGTGAATAATTTCATGTGCAAAACAATAGCTGTCTGGATCCTATAACGTCGCCCGAAAAGGTCCAGAAGTTTACTGATTGATCGAAAACTTGTTGCACATAATTGTGTTTTTCACGGTCAGTTTGCATCATTTCATCTTGATGTTGTCATTTTCAGACAGCCAAGTCATCAAGGATTCAGGAAAACAGTTTGGCATAGGTTTGCTTTAAGAACTTTACATTCTATGAAGTGTTTAAAATGTTACTGATGAATGAGATTTTTCGCTGAATATTTCGTTTACGTGCCATGTTGTATTTTCCTATATGGCAAAAATCAAGGCTTTTTAAACAACCGTTTCATATATATATATATATATATATATATATATATATATATATATATATATATATATACACACAAAAAAGTTTAATACTACAGAACTTGTAAATTTTTTGAAAAACAGAATCACATTTTCCTTTAAGCTAACTTTTTCAGACAACACCTCATCAGAAAAATCATTGGCAACCTAAATAGAATATTAACGAAATTTGCAAAGTGATAAGCAGCCTAGTAGGATTCGAGGAAAAATGTGATTTATTATTAAAATAGAGAAAAAAAATGGGTGGTGGAGAAAATGAAAAAAAGCAGAATAAATAATTTCAGTGATCATAAGGAAAAATTCACAAGTGTTCCAGTAAAGAAAAAGAACAGATAAATTTATCCTTCTGTTGACACGAAGATGTTTGCTGTAATTTGATATAAACTGCCTCTAAAATACGTAGATATTTTGTTGACTGTGCTTTGCCCAAAATGGTAAACATCAAATCCATATATTTGTGATTGCCTGAAAGGTGCTGGCCTATCACAAAATCTGGTACCATCTGCATAAGATGTGTATTAGGGGTAATAATACCCTGTGTAACATATATATTATTTTTCCAGGTTACCTTGGTTGAATTTTGATGAGTTATTGAGTCAGGAACCAGAAACTTTCCAGGTAAGTAAATATTAATTCTTATTTAAAAAAATAATCTAATGACATGTTCTAGTAGCTAAAACAAAAAGAAGTAGCTCCTCAAAAATAACACATGAAAGTAAATTATAGACAGTCAATTTATGAAAGTTTGAGTAAATGTTAATTTCTGACTATTGTAAAATGTTAGACATAAATTTTCCCTTCATAATTGCTTTCATAACAGCATATTGCTTCACATCTCTGTTGATGCAAGCTAATTTCTTCATTGAAGAATGTAAAGACTTATTCCTCTGACCCAATGATATGGTTCTTTACAAGTGGAACAACAGGAAAACCAAAGATGACGGAACACACCTATGCCAGTTATGGTCTTGGAAGTAGTGTTACTGCCAGGTTTGTCTATTTTTCATTTTTTCAACTAATTGATACCAAATCAAAGTGATTTCATTTTTTTTTTACTTTAACATTCAAAGTTTTAAGAAATTTATTTGTTATTCTGTATATTGAAATTACAACAAATAATTACACTTGAAATAATATTAAAAATTTATATAAATAAGAAATAATTAATTCTGAGTCTAATTTGATATATGATCTTGTTTTTGGATACGCAATGAGATCAAACATAATCAGTAACTTAATTGTTTTCACTATAACTTATCTACTTGTATTTGTTTTCCCAATATCTTTCACAAATTACATATCTTTGTCATTCTCATATTGTCTCATCTTGTTTGTTTATTCCCTCACCATACATCTATATGATTCCATTAATAAAAACATTGGTCTAAAGAAGTCCTATTGAAGGATGAAACTTGTAACATAGGATTTTTTTCCATTTTGTCATTCATTTACCCACCACTGTCGCATTTACCATTTTATTTCCTTTCCTGTATCATTTTATTTATATCTTTACAATTCTAACATATTCATCAGTATTATTTAAATTATACATTTATCCATTTAAATTATTTTATTTACAGGTATTTCCTCACAGCTCAGCGCAGTGATGTTATTTGGAACATATCTGATACTGGCTGGGCAAAAAGTGCTTGGAGCAGCCTCTTTGCCCCTTGGTTAGCTGGAGCTTGTGTCTTTGTTCATCACACAAGTAACATAAAATTCCAAGTAGAACCTGTATTACAGGTTTGTTTGTTGTTTTTACTCATTATGGTCAAACCATAATTTAGAATGACATCGTTGTAGAGGCATTACTAATTGAAGTGCTAATGTAGGTAGAGATGGTGTTAGTATATGTCACTGGATTCAGCTCTCTATAGCAGAGTAGGCAGTACAATGGCTTTATAGACACTCATTTTTTTAATATATTTCCTGAGGGTTTTTTTTGCACATGCAAAAACAGCAACCTGTTCAACCTGAAGTGACTGAACTTATATGAAGGTAGCAGTACAGCTGGTCAGACAGTCATCTTGACAGATGATGTGGTTCTAGTCACCTATTCAGAGGTGGTCCTTCAGCAAGCAATAGTTTGCTTTGCAAAAGTCATAAAACTCTTCAGCATAAACGTCATACATTAACAATCTCCATCTAACCAGTACATTTGTCTCCATCATCCTGATGAAGCTGAAAGTAATCTAGGACATCACCTACCTCCTGACTGATAATAAACACAAGAGTGTGTAGTGATAGAAAAATAAAAAGATCACTATTTCAAAAATAAAAAAATAGAAAGCTAAAAGTTGTCAAACCATTTTGGTTTGCCACACAGAAATAAGAACAAAAAGATAAGAAAAAAAATAAAGAACTAAATAAAAGCAGCCAAAAGGTTTTCATTCCTAAATGTAGGTGAAGACAAATGGATTGACAAATGAGTCATTTCTGGAAACAATCAAAATCAAGAACAATTCAGGGGTGAGGCAAAGAATGAATTTTATTGTCTTTAAAAAATATGTTAAGACAGTGACAAGCAGGCAAATGGATCAGACCAAATGCTGAAAAGAATTTAATCCACTGTCCTTTACGCTAAAGCTTCAGACACCTAAAAATCTCACACAGAGAGTTGAAAAAAATACTGCTATCAAGAAATACAAAATCTCACACAGAGAGTTGAAAGAATTACTGCTGTCAAGAAATACTTGCATACCTACATACACATTAACAAAGACTCTCTTTCTCTCTCTCTCTCTCTCTCTCTATATATATATATATATATATATATATATATATGCTAAAGTCTTAAAGACTTTCAACACAAGTACTTTCAGATAGGAACTTATGAACTCTTTGAATATTATTGTATATTTTATTTTGAGAGGTATCAATTTTTATCAGTACATGCAATATATATCTTTGTATGCATTTTAAAAGACCATAAATTGGTGTATATTTAAATAAAGGTTGTTATCCGAAGGTACAAGTAAACCCCTACTTTGGTGACTTCCACATCTCCACACTAACAGACCACCACATTAGTTCTTCGACTCCTACATGTCCCTATAAGCCATAAGGGTTGTAAGGACACCACCTGTATTGTAAACAAAAACAGTGCAACATACACATCTTCACCATGTACCAAGGTTCTGTCATATCAAATGTCAGACTTGATAACAGACTGGCTAAAGCAAACCAAACTTTTAGTAGACTACAAACTATATTAACCCATATTAAATATTGTACAACTTTGTATTATTTTTAATCTTTTTATCTCTAAACTTCTTAATGTATATTTACTTGCATTAATGATAGTCATGATAATTTCAATTTATAATTAAAAATTGTGTATTAATAAGTATTATAAATAATTATGAGTCAAATGGAATTGTAAAACTATTAATTTGCTTAGTGACATGTTTGTAGTTTCATGTTGGTGTTTCTATATCTTTTTAAAGTGAATACAATCTTCATTTCAAAACTGGATATTCACTGTTTCATGTTTGTTTTGAAAGTGTTACAGGAATGAAAGATATTTCATTTTTTGCCTCCTGGTACATGTGAAAATATATTTAGCAAACTCACATAAGTCTGGGTAAAAATAAAGACAACAAAACATGAAATTCAAACAAACAACAATTAATAAATGTATTAACAAAAAAGAGAAAGTAAATTAGTGTGTACACAGATGACAAGGAAAAAAAGACATTAAATCTTAGCTATGAAGAATTATGTATGTTTGTGTATGTGTGTGATACACAAGTGTGTAAGAGTTCAGTCATCAGTCGCCCAGGGAAAGGATCGTTCTCCAGCTGGGACACCCTTGTCTAGGTGTTGCTGCATTTTGGAGTGAAAGAAAGGAAGGGATATATTTGTCTTTCTATATTATTTAAATAGCGCCACTTAAAGGATGTTTTGGTAGACCAAGTGGAGGTAATCCCTACAAAAATCATGATTGCACATTTTTTAACTATCGAGAATAATTCCACTTTTGCCTGTCCTTTTCTCTGTATTCTCATCATCCACATTTTAATTTCAATTATTGTATACATATATATAAAAAAGATTACAAGTTCTGATGCACATAAACATTCACTTAAATAAGTGATTTAATAAATACTTAAAAATAATATGTCAGAACTCATATAGAATGGTATCCTGTTTTTTTTCCAGTTTACATTTAATCTAATGTGTGTTATTTCTCTAGTTCATTTATTAAAGAAGCACTTTCATAAAAATCATAAAGTTAATTGTTTTGAAGTATATTTATTAATGATTAATAAAATATCTTATAAGAATTTTATAGGATATTACATCAAAATCATGTCAAAAAATGCTACACAATTGCAGTTGTGTTTCAATGTGAATCAATGTATCTCATAAAGAATATTGCTTTACTTTGTATTGAGCCTCTCTTAAATTAAATGTTATGAATGTTAGAATCATACTCTCTTTATTCTCATCTTACCTGGATATATATATATATATATATATATATATATATATATATATATATATATATATATATATATATATATATATATATATATATATATATATACACACACACACACAATCATATCACATTAATTTATGCATCTGTATAATTATTTATGTATGTTTTTATATACTTGTTTGCTTTCACAATTATAAACAAGTGGGTACAGAAAGGTTAATGGACAGAATTGTAGTGGGTGTAGCAGACCCCCCCCCCCTTGGAAGGGGGCACGATATGAAAACGGCCTGAGCGCCCCATATAGGTATGAGGTCACAAGAGGCCTGCTAGAACCACTTCTGAAAATCTAAACAAATGACTAAGCATCAGATTGTCTTTTTTGTTCCTTTTGCGTCAGTTCAATAATTTTTCCACACTGCATTATAGTTGGTTTCATTGTATTTATAAACTATTTACAAATTTTACCATTGATGATTGACTAATAATATAATCACGACTGTAATATAAGTATTAAGTCTGCTGTAATTCACTTGTTACTGATTTAATACATTCAATTTCATTTGTAAAATAGTTTATCTAAAAATTTAATATTAAAACCTAAGAAAATGAATTTGCTTTTATTTTACCAAAGAAATAATAGAATATTGATAAGTAATATGTTTAATAGGTATTATGTCAATTTAATTTCCACTAGTAAAATAAATTATTTTGCTATGTAAATAAGAATTTCTTATTTATAGATTGAAATATTTTACCAGATTTACTCAGTAACAATATCAATGAAACTGTTAAGAATGTATAATTGTGAAAAACAAGCAGTATTGGAAGTATTGATAAGTTTTGTTCATTGAGTGTTGAAGTGGTTTTTCTAATTTACATATTTTTTTTAAAATGGCTTGTGAGTATTTCTTGTTGGGGTGTGAAATGCATAATGGGGAATTAGAAAAATTAGTGCAGATGAATTATATTGCAACTTGTTATAAATCTGTAACTTGTAGGTTTGGGAACATTGCACCACTAAATCTATTTTTACTCTTAAAATGAAGCACACACAAGCAGGGCCAGTGCATACTAACCCCAAACTCTCCAATGGGTGGGAGGCTGGTTAGGGGCCCCAGACAGTGCTTTGTGACCCTTACTATCTTATTAAAATTTGCTTTTTTTTCTACCTACATTTATATATGTTACAAATTAAACTAAACACAACTGATGATTAAAGGATGAAACATTTTTACATCATTCTGGGTTCTTTTTTCTTTTTTTGTCCAAATCCATGAATTTGTTTTGCTCGTGTTAAGTCTTGACAAAACACTATATAAAATTCACTATTTTTTTATCCATAATGTGTTAAAATTATTCAACTTTTTAACAAAAAAACAAGTTAATGTTAAAAATTGTCACAAAACAGTGTTGATTCATTTAAGATGAAATGATCTGTTATGACATGTCCCTAATTTGTATTTAGATATACTGTATTTTCAATTTTTCTAATTGAATTGTTCACCTATATTGCATATGATCCATTATTAAGTTACAATAAAATTTGTATTTTATATGAATATTACCTTATGAAAATTAAGATGTAGTAGAGTGGAGGGGCCCTATATCATAAATTTGGTGGGAGCCCGTGAGACCCTTGCACTGATCCTGCATACAAGTTGTACTTTCACAGAAATAAAATACACAAAATTATGTAAACTGAATATACAATATCCAAAATGGTTTTTAGATGATTTGGGTTTGTTTGTATTTTTTGTTTATTTTTTCTGCTTAGGAAATTTGTTTAGAATCTACCATATTTATTTTTAAAACTCTCTCACAATATGAGATGAAAATATGAAATTCTGTCTTTCTTTTTTATTTTTTTTTTAGAACTTAGAGGACTATGAAATTTCCGTTCTCTGTGTTCCAGCTACTGTTCTGCGTTTGATAGTACAGCATGACTTAACAAGCCGGAAATTCAAAGCTCTGCGACACTGTGTCTCTGCTGGAGAACCAGTGGTGAGTTGCTGACCATTTAGTGGTCATTTATTTCACTAAACTGTGAGCACATAGAGGAGATATATTAAAGAATGGAAAAAATCTTTTGGGAATTGTGTTAAGAAAATAAGATATAAGTTGTAATTCGAAAAAATAACACTTCAGTCTCTCTTACTTTTTGAATGAATGTCACCAAAGATATTGTTAAAGAATTTTAATATGGATATTTGTGGTATTTTAAAATTTTTCTATAGAATATACATGGCAAATGACTTGTTATAAAAATATGTTGAATGAAAATATGTTTATTATAGAATTTCCATTCAGGAGTGCTTATATGATAATGTACTTTGTACATTGTATTTTTTATAAAAATACAAAAATGTATTAACAATGGATATCAATGGAAGAATTCTGGAATTCACTTTAAATAATTCATTAAATTACTACTAAACTTTGGATATTTATTAGATGTTATTAAAATGCTATAAATATTTTTTCTTCTTTTTTTATGTACCATGTCCCTTTAGGACGTGGGAGATCATGGCTCTCCACAATTTCCTGTCCTTTGTATTTCATAGTAAAGTTTGTCTTTTTGCTATCTTTCCTAATCTCTAATCTACCAACAATTTACACTTGCTTGTTAGGAAGGTTATTAACTGCTTTGTTCTATTCCTTTGCCTTCAATAATCCTGCAAGTGATACATTTTCTAAGCCTTCTTTTCTCATTATGTGCCCTAGAAATTCCAACTGTTTCTTTCTGATATTAGTATAAGTGTCCTTTCTATTTTCTGTAAAACTTTGCTTTCCTTCCTTGGTATTCTCATCATTCTTCTATATAACTACATTTTTGTTGCTTCAAGTTTCTTCTTCATTTGTGATAAGATTTTTCAGCATTTGCTTTATTTAAATTAAAATAATCAGTGCAGTGTAATGGCTGTAGAAATATGATTTATTATATTTATCACTAAACACTAAAGTCAATGAAAATGCAAGGTTTTCTATGATTTTTATCAACACTATCACAAGTGATTTTTGTTAGTGAAATTATTTACAGCTGATAAATAGTTTGGTAATAAAAGTAGATTGATTTCCAGAAGACATTTTTTTTTAAAATATTTCTGCGAAATTCTTAGTATTTTAGTGAAACATAAAAAAATGACATCAGCTAAATGAAAAATTATTCTCTAATAGCCATTAAATTTTTCCTGGTTAACTTTTAAAGTGATAAATAAGAATTTGCATTTACACAAATAAATTTAAATAAATAAATCAGTGATTGCCAAGTAAGTGTTACAAATGGGATGAAAAAGGTTAATTCATAATATGTATGTATAAGAAAGATAAGTATAAATTTTCAGTCCCTTTGAAATAAGGCTGTAAAAAGTTCTGGTGGCAACATTTTTGGTCACATGCAGCGTGCAGTCTGTAGCAGGTTGAATGTGTGAAATCAGTGTATAAAAATTGCTAGTTTTTATAGATAGCTCATTGAAAATAGTTTTTGAAGTGTTTTTGAATGTCTGCATTTAAAAATATCTGACTTTTAATATTTTTATGACTTTGAACTGATGTTCATTCTCTATAATTTTTTTACACCTTTGCCAGGATCGTGTTTTTGCTCACTAATTTTTTTAACACACACTTAGCCTTTTTTTAACTTCTATAATGGCATTGTTTCCTCTAGTAATGTTAGTTATAACACAAAGGGATTAATTTAAGCAATTTTTTTTTGTAACTAAACTGACCGTCTAGTTAATTGGGGCACAAAACCTTCAAAATATATGATGTGGGGTCACTGACATCATACCAGCAGGGATAGCCTTATGTTCACAGGGATAAAAAAACATACACAGAAATAATACTAAAAGTATGTTTTATTTATTTTGTGTACTGAATGGGTGTGTATTTTAGTTATATGTGTTTTACAGTTGCATGTAATAAAAGGAAGAAGTCACTTTGTATTATAACAAGCAGTGTGCTGAGAGAGGAGTTGGACATCTTGATATTCCAATGGTCAATAATGAAAGAAGTTGGAGTTCAGCATTTTTGGCACAAAGTCTGTTTACAGACAGGAAAAGTTTCTGTTGCATTCTGGGAGAACTTTTATTATTTTGATTTTATTTAATTTATTTTAAACAAATTTTTAATGATATTTGTTTTAATTTCTTTTCTTTATGATATTCATTATTATTATTTTATATTTTTATTTTTATTTATTATTAATAATAATAATGTTCTTACAATGTAAGAAAGAAAAATCTTGACTGAATATTTCTTTTTGACGTCATTGATATAATTTTGATTTCAGAACCCTGATTTGATAGTTAAATGGAAGAAAGACACAAAGCTGGATTTGTATGAGGGTTTTGGGCAAACTGAAACAGTAAGTTGGCAATCAAATTCTCAGTTTTATTGATTTTATTTAAACTGCTGGATTTCACTTCAAAGTTTAATGTTAAGATCTATCACTGATTTTGTAAATTATTATTGGCACATATACAATTTAGTTATGATTAAGCAGTTATGTTATAGATTATGAAGTTTTTCTGTTATTTTATTTTCCTTCTGTTGGATTTCAGCTTCAGTGAAACAAATTTAATTTTTAGTTATAAAATTTATGTAAGTGCCTTTGGGAAAGACATGAAAATTTCTTAAAAGAAATATCTTTCTTTTTCTTCTTACAGACATTGCTTTGTAGTAATTACCCCTTCATTGAGCAGAAAATTGGATCGATGGGGAAACCACCACCTGGCATTGACCTCCAGGTAAAACTTTTTTAAAGCATAACACAAAGAAATTAAAGTTGTGAAGAAAACAACTTCTTTTATAAACTGTTTGTGTTGATAAAAATTAAGAGGATGTTGTTTCCAAAAAAAGCATTGTAAATTATTTTAAGTTTATATCTTTTATAGTTTTAATTTTATCTAAACTCAACTCCTTGTTACTAGCCAACCAAGAAAAATATTTAATGTAAAACTTGTTAAATAAGTTTTATATTGTTCTGACTTCAATAATTACAACCAATGATATTAAGTATTTAAATAGATAATATGAGAAAATTTTAAAATTCAATAATATTAGTTAAATTTATGGAGTATTTATGAAGAAGCAATGCCTTCAGTAAAAGTAGTATAGAAGAGAATAGCAGAAGAGAAAATTAATGGGAAATATACACTGAAGAATTAGGCAAATTACTTTTTGCAGTAATACAGATTATTTTAACTGGCTATATCCTAGCAGTTCTTGTTTCTGACTAGGATGCTCATATCCTGGTGGGGACAGTTGGTTGGTTGAAAATGACTTCATGGTCTAGCAACTCTGAATATGCATCTGTTTTTAGAAATGGTGAAGTTTTCATCTCCTTGTAATTATTTGTTTATTTATATTTATTTTTCCATCACTATACAAGTTGAAATTACAATGATTTCTTTTATTATTCATTTAATTTCAAATGTAATGAAATGTAAGTAATAATTTTATTAATTCTGAGCTTAGGTGTTGAAGGTTCTGCTGAGCAAGTGCAAACAAAGTGACTCCTATCATCCACTAACTTATATACTGAGAATCACCATAACAAATTTCTCATTTATTGGCTAAAAATAAACTGACCAAAATTTGCCTTGAAAAGAAAACTTATCCCAAATTCAAAGCCTTTAACATGTTGTTTTTAATTCAGCTTGCCAATATATCATTTAAATGATCATCCTTATTTCATCATCTTAATCTACCACAAAAATTTAAATATCTAAGAAACGTTTTAACAGAGGATGGGAAATGAAACACTGAAATCTGAAGGTGTATTTGAATATTGAGAGAAGTTTGCCTTCCAAAAGCTAAGCAAAGTATTAAGAGACAGGAAGATTTTGTTAGAAACATAAAAAAGAGTACTAAACTGTTATGTAATATAGGTCCTCCTATATGACAGTGAATGCCGGACAACCTCTTCACAGATGAAGAAGAGATTGAGACAATAGAAATGTGATTCTACAGAAAAGATGCCGAGAATCCCATCAACTGAACACTTGAGCAACAACAAAGTTTTAGAGAAAATGGAAACAAAAAGCACACTTATATTTATAATCAGAAAGAGTTAAAATTTCTAGGTTATATAATGAGGGCTTGGAGACATTTTGAAGACAAGAGGGACAGCGGAAAGCAATAAATAACCTACCTAACATTCTTGTGTAAATTTAAAGTGTACTACAGTTTTAGCTAATTTACAAGGACATCTTAAAGACAAAAAAAAAGGTTGATAAATACTGGTCTAATCCCATAGAATAAATAAAGTTTTCGGTTTGAAATTCCCTGATGGTTATCCAAATCGACAGACACCTGAAGAAGACGAGGAGATTAGTCTGAATGTAAATAATAAAAATGGATGTTATGCAGCAAACTCACTTACCAATTTACTTCCTTGCCAGAACAAAGTTTTTTCTCTTTCAATGCAGCATCCAAAGCAGACAATGGCTCTTTGCAGTCATGGTTTGTCCAAGTTCCAGCTATTCATAAAGAAGAATTCCACTTGAATTCTGCTAAAGACAAAAAAATCTTTCTCTAGTAGATTTTATTTAGTTTGTGATCTTGAAGACTGTCCTGAATCTAAGCATAATTTATTTGGGTTGAGATTCTAGTAATAATAAATCCATTTTTCATAACCTGTGGCTATCTTGTTCAAAAGATAACTTTTTCTCTGCCAAATAAGAATAGAAAGACATTTAAATGTTAACCAATGTTCCTTTTCATAAATTCTTATGGGACTCATTTTCCTAGTTTTTGATTTTTTTTCTTAGGCTTCTGTACCATGGTTGAAAGATGCAACTCTAATTTTTCTGCAAGTTCAGTTGTTTGTTTATATTTCTGAGATGAGGTATTGTAATTATTTACACTATTTACATGTCCTCATCTTTGTTGCCATATTCATGGTGTTTATTATTTCAATCTCATCCCACAGGGGGCAGTGACCTCCCTTTTCTCTAAATATGTGGTCAGCTATGGCTGATTTTTCTATTTCCTCTTGTATTATGGCTTTACAATGTTATTGCAGTTTTATCTTAAGGCCTTGTTAGGAATACTAGCTACAGTAAACAAAGATCCAACAATGAAAACAGAATGAAAACTGTCACAGATCCTAATCAGGATCAAGGACCACTTCCTACCTAAAACATACAGGCAGTTGTCACAGCATTACACCAAGCTACCTCACATATAAGGTCTCCCAAAAATTCACAAAGACCACTCAAGCCAATTGTTAGTTACCAAAGCTCTCTGTGCCACCCTTTGAGTCTCTTTGTAGATATAATTGGACCATTAATAGGAAAGTCACCTTTATAGTCCGAAACTCAGCCCACTTCCTGAAAATAATCAAAGATGCTCCCATCCAATCCAACTAGATGGGGAGTCTGGACATGGTGACTTTGTTCCCCTAGTTACTGACTGAGGGGGCACTATTGGTAATCAGGGACAGACTGGCCTTAGATTCATCTCTAGGAGAACGGATCAGTATACCTGACGGAGATGCTGACTTTCTGTACACAACACACTTCGGAATGGGATCAGACATATATCGACAGGATGAAGGCTTAGCAATGGGCTTGCCATTCAATGGTAAACATATACATGGAATACTCTGAAGAAATGGCATTAAAATCCACATCACTAAAGCCAACTCTATGGCTGAGATATGTAGATGATGCTTTCATACTCTGGTCATACCAGGAAGAAGTCCAGCTACTAGTGGACCATGTGAACTCAATAAGATCATCAATACAGTTCACAATAGAGAGAGAAAATGAAAAAAAAAAACTAGCATTCCTGTATGTATTAATATCTTGAATAGAGCATGGTCTCAAGACATCTGTATACCGTAAGCCAACATTTACTGGACATTACCTCAAATTCAATTCCCACCACCTATACAGTGTAAAGAAAAGGATCATCTGCTGCTTACAATATCAAGCAAAAGTGGCAACCCAGAGACATGAACAAAAAATGGTCAGTATAAGCAGTACCCTACAATATAACAACTACCCTGGGTACATAGCAGCTGCTTCGACAAACTGGGATAGAAGGATACAAGAGGATAACAACCCTCAGAAATCAGCTTTGGTCTGCCTACTCTATATGAAGGGATTATCAGAAAAAATACAAAAGATCTGTGGTTCATATAACATTCCGAGTAAGGCTCTTCTATAAAGGAGAACATGTCTGCCATCCTGTGCAGATGTGGTAAGAAATATAAAGGAGAAACAGGCTGCCCCCTTAAGATAAGACTGCAAGAACATCGTAAAGCCGTAACATGAGGGGAAATAGAAAAATCAGACATAGCTGACCACATATAAAGGGAAAAGGGAGATCACTGCCTCCCGTAGGATGAGGTTGAAATAATAAACAGAGAACATCACTGGAAAATACAAAACCTTAAGGAATCAGCACATATGCTTGCCCACAAAAATTTCCTAAGCCAGCAAAGCATAGAAATAAATACAATATGGGAACCAGATATACAGAGTGCTAGAGAAAAGTAATAATAACAACAAAATTGCAATATGAGCTCTTGTAAAAATGGTTACTGAGAAATTAAGTTTATAAGTCCCAAAAACTCATACACTGATGTCCTCAAGGACACATGGCTCAGTGGATAAAAGTGTTGGTTGGATCCAGTGACTTGACATGTGAGTACAAGCTACTACAGTGGTGAACAAAAATTTGGAGAGTTGAGTTAAAGGGAGATCATCTGGAAGTGGCATGGCATGTGGAACTAGAACAATCTACTCCAGTTCGAAATCCCATTTACCTGAAGAAGGCCAGGCCATACAACAGCTGAAACATTGTGAATATGGCAATAAACAAGGACAACAGTCCAAACAATGTAAGTAGTGTAAATAAGTTCATGTGCTGTTTGTTCTATGTCTTCCTTCTAAAGTTTGTCCAATTTATTAAGTTTCAACTTCTGAAGTCTTCCAATATTTTGTACTTGAGCTTAAAATCTTTTTTTAGATCATTCTTGAAATATATTTGCACCTACAGCATTATCATCACTAACACCTTCCTTTGTCCATTGTCCTTATTTCCACTGTACCTTTTCTTGATTAAATATGTTGAATATACATTTTATATTCAGCTTAAATAAAGTATCAATTTCTGCAAACAGTTCTTAAAAAATATACATGAACAAACATTAAAGAACCTTGTAAACTCTAAAGACACTCATGAGACTTGCTTAACTTTCTACAAATGATGACACTGCAAATTTTTTACATCAAATTAATATTTCTTCCTCAAATGACAGTCACATAATGAAGGTATTATTCCAGAAGGATCAATAATGTTTATTCTGTGTGTTCTGACAGATTGTTGACAATGAAGGTAATATACTTCCTCATGACACAGAAGGCAACCTTGCTGTTCGTTATCGTCCCCAACGGCCAGTTGGACTTTTCAGTAAATATGTTGTAAGTTTAATTTCTTAAAATCATTTTTGAATTACTTAATGATATTTCTGTTTCTCTTTTCAACAAATTCTTCTTTATTGTTAATTTATTTACATGTGTAGATAAGATTTGATTAACAAACAAGAAAGATTATTTTAATATTTTTAGACATTATATATTTTATCAGTAATCATAATAGGTAGAGTTGATAGTTATTGTCACTAATAATTGTATTGATCATAATCCAATGGTAACATTTGGTTTATGTCATCTTATGTTTGTTCATTTTATAATCTTGTCATTAAAGTTTAAAAATCCCTTTCACCTTCCAAGAGATATTTCATTCTCTTTTCAAATTAGTAATTTTTAGAACTTGTATTTTTTTAGTATTTGGTTTCTAATATCATCTTAAATAAAAGAATTATAAAATCAATTTTTTTAAAGTCAACATTTGGTGTATTTTCAAAGGTATGATTATTTAGTTAGAAAGATAGATATGACAACAAGCATGTGTTACACATTGTGTTTGTGAAAAAAAATTATATAAATTAGAATTTTGTAAAACAAAATTTAGGCAGATTCAAATTATAGCAGACACATTATTAGAATATATTCTATTAATTAATCAGTTTCAGACAAAATAAAAAAAAAAATTAATTATTAAGATATATCCCTACTGAGTGGATACCAACTTAAAATAAATTTAATTAATTTATAATTTAAAGAGAAAACATTTAAATGCTTTCTCTAGTTTTAATGTTAATAAGGAGAGACTGTATAAGAAAATTAAAAGTAGAAAAAGTAAAAATAAAATGTAATAAATGTGATACAAAATTACATTTTGACTATTCTGTTGATTTTTCATATTTCTCTTATTTTCTTTTTCTCAATACACAAATGTCAGAGTGAGCCAAATGTGACTGCTTCAGTATTCTGCGGAGATTTCTACTTGACAGGAGACAGAGCCATGATGGACAAAGATGGTTACTTCTGGTTCATTGGCCGTTCTGATGATGTCATAATCACTTCAGGGTTAGTATGTTAGATTATATCTAGTTAGGACCAGATTCTTTGTTCTGTAGCTAATGTTTATTCATATTTGCTTTTTTAATTTCTTAAATTTTGAGGTGTTACAAGTAGAAATATATGCACAGCAGTTAGGTTTATAGTTAAATATTTTCTCATTCCTGATTTTAACATTAACAAAAAGAAATGACCTCTGGGCATTTCTTGACCACTTTTACACTCAACTTCATATTTTATGAATCTTAGTATCAAAAGACAAAAGCAAAAAGAAAAACTTTTAATTATGAAGATCAAACTCTTGAATTTCTTTTCTTCTTCTTTTTCAATAATTGTAACAGGAATCATCAGTGGTAAAGGCATTAGGTTACCAGTTTCTTGACAAGGGATATTTTCTTGTGTTCATTAGGGATATACATTGTGACACTATAAAGCTATGGTAATTGGCTAACTAATTAACCATAGAAATTAAAACAGAAAATAGACATTCTTAAAGCGAAAAAGAGCTATCTCGAAAGACAGACTGATCGATGAAAAAAAAAAGATTTTAATTCTATTTACAAAAAAAAAAAAGGATACTTTTCACAAAAGACAGTAAAGGCCGTGGAAGAAGCCACGTGGGAGGTCTTGTTGATTTATGTCGCGCCGAGGGAGATAGAAAGAAAGGCAAATATTAAGATGTTGGCCAGACTATGTTGGTCATAAAAATTTTGGCTTGAGACGAATGCTGATGGGCATGGGGAATCAATGTTAATTATCTTTCCAAGATATCGTTTATATTTTTTTCTTGGATACAGGCGAAGAGAAGCAATGTGGCAATTATAAAATTTTGGCATTTTCTTGATATAGGTGAGAGGATTGTTATCATTTACTTTACCAACAGATGTTTAGACGTTGAATAGCAATGTGGCAATTGTAAAATTTGGGCATGAGATAGAAAATAGAGTGGAGAATTGAGATTTGGTGAGACAAAAGAATTTAATTTCTTAACAAGTCAAGGATTCCATTATAAAGCTAACTTAACGTAAGGACCAGATGGCAAACATTGACAGTGATTGATGAGTCAGTAAAGAGTGCTGGCTAAGTGACTTTTGGGTGGCCCAGGAAAAGAGAAGATATGATAAAAATTTAATTGGTAATGTGGAATTCGTAAAAATTTTGGCCGATGGGAAAGGAGAATTTTGTAAACAAAAATTCTAGATTATAATTTTAAGGAGGCCAGCTTAGCCACACCCACACTGCCAGAATGCTATTGGTTGAGTGGTGGTATGGGTGATAGATGGAGGTGAATGGATGAGAAAGGCGGAGAAGTTGTTAATGTTCACTGAAGGGATTGGTATGAGATATCAATGTGAGACAGAAAAAGTCTAGGAGGATAACTCTCCTCCGACCTTCCCTCATAAACGATGGAGAACCCCTCGAAATGGAAAGTGATTAATTTTCCAAAAATGGGAAGTAATCAATTTTCCTGGTCTGACAACAAAGAGATTTCTTGTTAGAAATCGAGATTTACCGAGAACCCCAGGCCGCGTCTGGCCCACACCGGGTTTTGGTCGGTACCCATATAAACAAATGTCCTGTGGTCATTCAGCAGTTAGTTCCACTTGAGTTCGAGTTAAGTTGCAGTTGGAGTCAGAGCTAACCAGAGTGTTGCCTCACAGAAGCTGACCAAGAGATTCCACGACCTCCAACTTCACCTATCCTACCAATAGCAAGTTATACTGATGAACAAAGCTAAGCCAACACCTAAAAAAATAATCTTAGAGGACCAGAACTTGCCTAAGAAGCATAAAAGTGTCACATTTCATAGGAAATGGGCTGGGAGAAAAACACACTCCTGTATATAACAGAAGGATAAAGTTAATTTGTTATTTCTTAACATACTTGAACTTCTTGGGTTTTTCTTTATTTTTTTTTCTTCTTTACGCTTGTGCGATACCACCTTCAATCTGGACTTAGCTTACACTACAGCCTGATGCCTGATTGATCTCATCTACCTTAGATCAAAGTCACAATGTGGGTAGGTTAGACTTGAGATCGAAGCAGTTACTCCAGTAACCAGATGTTGCATGTGAGCTGGGAACGATAGAGTTGGTATTTAACCAGTACAGTTGGTGAAGCCATTAACATCAACGACCAGACTTCAACCCTTAATGGGCCATTGTCCCATATTGGTATCCTGACCAGGGAAGTTCACCGATTAGCGACGACCACCGATCAACCAGGGCACAGGCTGGTGGCAGTGACAAAGAGTCAACCCCAAAACGCTGGTAGAAGAAACATTACAGCTTCGCGCCACACCTGAGAGTTGACCAATGACCATGGGCTAATGGCTGGTGTCACAACAGGGTGTATCAAAAATACTTTTACAAACTTTGGAGGTAGGTTCCTTACATCAAAACAAGGACAAAAGTCCATATAAACATGGCTGAAAATCCTTCATTTTTGAGTTATTAAGTTTAACAAAAGTTTATGGTAGTTGCCATGTAGAGTAGGTTATATTTGTCATCCATGTACATTTGTAGCTAATCTGTTTTCAACATTTAACATGTGTAGTAGTGAAGTGTTCCATTTAAAAATGGCATGATATTCATATCATGAGCAGGTGGATATAATTTTTACATATGACTGAGCGAATGGTAATGGATGTGAGACTGCATGGTTGTATCAGAAAGAAGACAGCCGAGTCATCCAACCTTTGCTGCTGTTTATCATCGTGTTGCAGAAACAGAATCTGTGACACCACAAACTATGAATTGATGAAAACCAAAATCTGCTCATACACCTGACCACAAAGAACACATTCTACAGGTGTCAGAGATGTTCCAGGTATCAGCACATGTCAAGTGTCCCTAGTAGGTCATACATCTCATAGTACTGCATGGAGGGTGCTTCAAGAGCAGCTCCTGTATCGGTATCATTTGCAACATGTGCAGGGTCTTTCACCCTCTAATCACTCACCATGTAGAACTTTTGCCGATGGTTTATTGCACAATAAATCCATTGTTCGTTGCTTCAGTCTTGTTTACAGATGAGGCAACATTTGGAAGAGATGGAATAACAAATTTACACAATGGACATTTGTGGGCAGATGGAATCCCCATGGTACAATACAGGCTAGACACTAGCATAAGTTTATGATTAATTTGTGTGGTTGGAATTGTAAGTGACTATCTGGATGTGACACTTCAGCACTTCAGAGGATTAATCAAACAAAAAAAAAAAGGAAGAGAAAAAAGACTACTAACTGGATGATAATTGTTGACATTTGCAGAAAAGTGGATTGAAAAGTTGAGAAGAAAATTAAAAATGAAATGTGTTGAAAAATCATGTTTGAAGATAATAAAATAAAATCCAAAACAGTGTCCAGGAAAATAGAAAAACATGTTGTTGATAAAGAAACCCAGGTGTTTGCCGGCGTAACATTTAAGATTTTTCTAGACAAATAGCCAGGAAAAACATCTGGTTTGAATTGGCCACCCAAAAAATATCACTACAAAAATAGAGCCTGATGGGTTCATTCATTTTAATTTCTGTGACATTTATCAAAAATTTTATAGCTGAAATTATTTCAGAAACCTTTGGATACAAATAATAAAGAAAAGTTAATTTCTAGGTGTGGAGTGACCACTGAGACAAGCTGATAAAAAAAAGATTAATGACTAGAAATTCCCTTTTTGCCTATGCATTCTGGAAGTTTGGAAACCATTCAACACTGTGTGGGAGTATTTGAAAGGGTTCATCTGTCAATGATCTGACAGGTGTATGCATGTGTAGAAGCAAGCAGAGGACATTTTAAACATCTGTTATGTGTTGGTGTGTTGTGGTATAATAACAGCCTTTTGGACATATGTTTATATAGACATTTTACCTTGTTTTGGTGTGAAGAACCCATCCACAAAGTTTGTAAAAGTATTTTTGATACACCCTGTATATTTATGTAATAGGTTGAAATGAAGATGTTATTGCAGTCAAATAATTTTCTTTCTTTTTTTTTGTGCAGTGCTATTATTGTGTTGTATTCAACACATGGTTCAGTGGGTCAAAGAGACATGTCTTGTTCTTACAACATTCTGTGTTTGAAAAGTGAATGAAGAGAATGAAGATTTATGTGTATTTCTTTTATACTGCTTTATACAATACAACCCAATGGGCACATAGAAGTTCCCTGCTAAAGAAGGTGGAGCCATCCCACATAATAGATTTTGGAAAGGCATGTGCTTTAAAATGGAAGATTTCCAAGATTTTTGTTTGTTATTCTGTGAATGCTCAGTCGTATATGTATGAAAATAATAAACATATACGAGCCAATATTCAAATTTAGATAATTTACATAGATGTGTCAATACACTTGTGTTGACAATAGTTAAGCATTTATTAAATAACCATTAGAGCCAAGTCATGTTTTTAGTAATGAGGAAGATTCATTCTGATTTCCATCTAAAGGTGTGACACTTAAAGGGTCGAAGGAATAGCTCCATATCTGTACTAAGAGCCAGAGACAACCGCTTCACCGAACTCACGTGACTTCCTGTCACTGAAGAAGACCTCAGATTTGAGCTGTGTTACAGAAACCTTGTGTAGACTTAATCATGACAAAGTGTCACAAAATATTTGAAGAGGGAAGGGTCAAATAACTTTGTATGATAAATATATTCCTGCATGAAATAATGATATTGTACTACCAGTTCTGTACAAGAAACATTATATAAAACATTTTCTTTATCCTATGATTGTGGCTTCACTTTGTCTGGACCAGACCAATTCAATGATTCCTGTTGACAACTAATCCTCACCAGCACTTGTGATCTAAATCAAACACAACATGGGACAAGGCAAGGCTTGGATCAAAGTGATCTATTCAACAGTCAGTTGCGGGGATCAAACATCGAACGGACTGGCTGGGTAAATGTCTCGTCATAAAGGTCTTTGAGATTATATCAAGGCTTCCCAGCCCTCACTTTGTAAGCAGTGGTTTTTAAGCTTGGATATTGTCAGCCTTTAGCAATTATATATTTAATATATATAAAATCATGTCTTTAGTTTTCTATTTAATTTTTTCCTTTCTTGATAAAAGCTCTGACAAAAGAGGAATAAAAACCAGTTAAGCTTCATTTTTTTCTCCTTTTTGGTTTTTCATTTGCCTCTTTATGAAAACTATAATTTTTTTGTTCTTTCCTGTTGTTTGATTTTATATGTTCATTTTTATTGCAATTATTAAATTTTGTACTCCTTTAAAAATATTTTTAAATTATTTTATTTTTTCATGAGAATAATTTTTAAAAAATATGGTTGTAAGACATCAAAAACAGAATAAAATCCAAAATATTGTCATTAAGGAATTAAACTAAACCCATAAATTGGTGTATAAGTTATTATTGATAAAACAAAAGTGTACAAATGGAAACATTTACCTAATATTAATTCTTTAAAACCTTTCTATGGGTATAAAATTCAAATAATTTTTCTCCTGTATTTTGTTGTTCTTCATGGCTATATTTGTTTGTTAGTGTTATGCCTCATAAAAATTCACAACAAAAAACCCCAAAACACTTAGTCTTGTACAATATTTGTACCAGTTCTATTGTGGGTAAATGTACAATCTCATCTAAATTGCTTCTCAGACATTGGGCTGGGATCAATGCATAATATCTGTTCATTTTACAAAGGAGAAGATTGCTTGATCTTGGGGATTTCAATCCTATGGTAACACCTTTCTAATTGCACTAAAAGAGGTGGGGTTGGTGTAATATCAACACCAGTGTGAAAGTGGTCACAAGGACCCAGCAATGTTTTATCCTTAGCCTATCTGTAACCCATGTAAAAAAGACCTTGTGTCACATACTGCCTTAGTGGGGAAATTAGGTAAATGATATCTCATCTAAATCAACTTTGTGAATAAAAATGTTTCTAACATTTTAGGAACTAATTTTGTATTATATAATTTGTGTATAGTATAACACTTATGATGGAAGAAAACATATTGTTGTGATGGAGAAACAGTGACAGCAGATCATTTCTTGAATTGAATCATTGGATTCTTTTCCTCTTTGGATGTGACCATTAATGACCACTACATTCCATTTCTTTGCTCTTTAGATGCTATCCTTAATAACTACTGAAATATTGTACTGTGCCTGTGTTCTTGAACTTAATAATCATTGGATTCCTTCTTCTATGCCTATACCTTCTAGCTTTGAATCTTAATCACTATTGTCTTTCTCTAGATATAATATTTAGATGTGACACTTAATGAACTTAGAAATCTCTTGCAGCGACCATTGTATTCTTTTCACTCACTATGCTCTTTAAATGTCATGTTTATCACAGTATCATATTTTCATTCTGTGTCTGATAATATGCCCACTGGATTCTGTTTCTATGCTCTTTAGATATAACTCTTTTAGTGGTGTTGATCTTTAGGTGTAATTATCCATGCATATTGTATTTTCTTTCTACAGTCATGTTTTAAATTTGACCATTAATAGTGACTGAATTCTCTTTCTTTAACTATGCCCTTTATTTCTAATATTTGCAACAATTTTACAACTGTTCTCCTCGTCTCTGTTTTTACGATTAATTCAAAATTTGTTTTTATACGTTTATATGTATTAGTAGTTATATCTATTAGTAGTAGTTTTCAGTCCTGTCCTTTTAGTTACAACATTCCTGCTTTTTTAAAGTTCACAAACAGAATATTAGTTATTACTATAAAATTGTTCAGCTCTCTAATATTGATCCTCCTAAACTGACACATTTCTCTTGCTATTAAAATCTCTCAATAGGGCTGTAGAGAAAAATGAATGAAAAATGACTTAATTTCTGGGGATTTCATGTTGCAGGCAAAAATACATCTTGAAATAGATATTACAGTAATAATTGGATTTTAAAAACGAAAATCAATTGTTGAGACTTGACTCCATTCTAAAATTACCATAAAATTCATCTTAGTTAAAATTTGATTTTCTTTTATTCACATGCTGATTTTTTTTTTTTTTTAACATGCAGTTATCGAATTGGCCCTTTTGAAGTCGAGAGTGCTTTGATACAGCATCCTGCTGTCCTAGAGTCTGCTGTAGTCAGTAGTCCTGATCCTGTGAGAGGAGAGGTTAGCTGTTTGTTTTACATCTGTTCTATTAAATTAACTACAATGTTCTCTGGAAATTATTAAATAGTTTGTGGAGCAAACTTAAAAAAAAGTTATGTATAATTTATTAATTACTTCATATAAGAACATCTCATACAAAAACAAATTAATTTCCTGTCCATCTACCTCTTCTATATAATTAACTTCATATCGGCTGCTTCATATCTATGGCCTATCCACCTCCCTGCTCTATATAATTAAATTCATATCAGTTGCTCCATAACTATGACTATTTTGTTATCTCTCTTATCCAAATATGAATAGATCATAACTTTGATTAGTTTGAAAATATCAGTTTATAAAATTGATTTTAAAATATTTTCCCATAACTCAAAAAGTATAATTTTCAGCATGTCCTCTGTCTGCATGTAAAAAAATTCATAAGCAAAAACATTGCTAATTTGAATTAATTTTAGCAAATTATCCACTCAGAACAAAGTTTTGAAATTATAATGAGAAAATAAGTTAGAATTTCTGGTTAAAAATCTGATATATTTTTTTTAAATGCTACCAAGGAAATTTCACAAAGTGTTTACTTTACTTAAATATAGTAGTTGGTCTGGAATTGAACTGCCATAAAAATGGCTTCAAGCAAATGAAGCATGTAGGTCTTAGTGAGGACCATCCTTCTGCAAACCTCACGGACTGGCACAAACCAAAAATCATACCAATTAACAGAAAGCACTATAACAGTTACTGGACTTATTTTCCTGAAAAATTGTTAGAATAGAAAAAATTTATAAATTTCAACCAAAAGTAGCACTTGTTGCTCAGTCAATGAATGCTAAATGTTTTCTCATAAGGAGACTTACTAATATTACCATATACAGCAGTGAAAGCATTAAATCGTTCATTGTAGCAACAAATATACATAAAAGCAATGTGTTGCATAAAAATGTGAATTAAAATTGTTAAAATGTCATTTTCATCTAAATGTATGTGATCCTTTAAAGCTAAATATTTTGAAAAGTGATTAATTTAGAAATAAGCATTTAATCTTTCGATAAGCAATCTGATTTTACATGTTTTCTTTCTTGTTCATTATTCCTGTTTTATTTCAGATTGTTAAAGCCTTTGTAAAACTGGTTTCTGATTACCAAAACACAGATTATACAAATTTGATAAAAGAACTTCAGGAACATACAAAGATGATCACTGCACCTTATAAATACCCACGTAAGGTAACAGGTCACTTTTTGTATTTTTATGGGGATATATATATTGATGAATGTACAGGGTGATCCGAAAATCTTGTCACACCCTACCTCTCTTCCAAAACTGTAGAAGCTTGTGTCAGCCACCTATAAGAGAAAATTATATCATGTATCGGTGATAAGACTTTTGAACCTGTACATTTATCTGTGTGAATGCATTTACATTTTTGTATGAGTACAATAACAAATATATTTGAGTATAGTTATATTTTTGTTATTTGGAAGTATGTAAGTGTGCATATATATTATTTTTTTTATTAACCCTCCTCCCCTGTAAATAAAATGGACTGCTTCACTATCATTACAGTACTGTATGAATATCAATATTTAAATTGTGCAACAGTCAGTTTTCAATCTCAATCAGCACCTGATGATTGCATTGTGCATGAAACTCAAAGTTGTGCTACCAGTGAGAAAAAAATGTATTTGATGGCATTTGATCTCTCCTTTCACAGCTCTGGGGGTGGGGGCCGAGCTGGTCAAATTCAGTGTCTCAAAAACCTAACTAGTGACATTCCATCATCACTGATTGAACTCTGAATTTTCACCTATGGCATTGAACATTTGTAAAAGGCCCTGTATTTTGAGCACCAATTAGGACTTAAGCTCAACCCAAACCCCAAGTGAAGCTTGTACATACAATCGATAAAGATGCTGGAAAAATGATTGGTACCCTGTACCACTCCAGTAAGTACCTGACTTACTCCTGTTATCCTCTACCTTTACAAGAGACTGATCAGGGCCAAAAATGGAATACTGCTTTCATATATGGGCAGGAGCTACACAGTCGTCACTTTCCAGCCTGGATAGAATTCAAGAGTATTTACAGGATTGGGTGATGAATTATTTTCCACCCTACAATCCCTTTCCCACAGATAAAACATTGCAAGCCTCTTGCTACTTCCATGGAAAGTGTTCAGACGAACTACATTCCTTAGCCATGAAGGTTAGAACTAACATTATTGTGTGTGTGTATATATATATATATATATATATATCACTCTGTTTAAATCCCTTGTTTTTGTCATATAGGAAAATCCAATATGGCGCATAAATGAAATATTCGGCGAAAAATCTCATTCGTCAGTAACATTTTAAACACCTCATAGAATGTAAAGTTCTCAAAGCAAACCCAAGCCAAACTGTTTTCCTGAATCCTTGATGACTTGGCTGTCTGAAAATGACAACATCAAGATGAAATAATGGAAACTGACAGTGAAAAACACAATTATGCGCAACAAGTTTTGATCAATCAGTAAACTTCTGGACCTTTTTGGTTGACGTTATAGTATCCAGACGGTTAATTTTTACACATGGAATTATTCACTGGTAATAAATTTTCGATTTGGCTGTGAAAAATGTCACTCGGGGGTTAGCATTAAAAAATTATGGTCAATTTTGTATGAAAAACCACTTTTTCTTATTTAAGAAATAATTTTTTTCACTTCAAAACAATTTTTTTTCAAACTTCAATCCTTTGTCTTTACATTGGTGTAAATATCATTGAATAAAATGAACTATTATATGACCCGGCAATGGGAAATATGAAAGGTATGCAGCAAAAAAAAAAAAACAGTGTCGTCTGCTAGTGTTTTTGTCACCCGGGCTGGTGACCCTCGAAATAAAAGTGCAGTTGAGTTATTTATTTATTAATTCATTTTTTAAAATAAATCTGGGGATATGTTTCAAAGAAAAGCAAAAAAAAAACGTTCTTTTTTTTTTCTAAATCAGGAAAACTTTTTACAATATTAAAAAAGAAAAGAAAAGATAACTTGCTTTTGTTTATCTTTATCCAGCTATTTTAGAATTAATGAAAGAATGATAGGTATAAAAAAACCAAAAAAAAACAGGCCTATTCTAAGATAAAAAAACAAAAAAAAAACAATGGTTCACTTATTTAATTTATTTTCACTAACATTTGAACACACACGTTCACTGCGCAACAGATGAAAAATCAAAGCAAAAGAAGTCTGGACTTTCTCATCGCAGGTGTTAATCCTTCACATCAAGCAGGGTCTCAAGGGGCCACTTTTTTTTTTCACACCTTTAATTGATACCAAACAATTTGGACTTTCTCACATAGTGATGAAAAACATAAGCCATGGCAAGCCCTAAAAATGGTCATCACATACTTGTTAAGTGGATGGGGTTTATCTCCACCAGCTAAATGATGTTGACAGTTTATATTGTTTTTTATTGCTTTGTCCAAAGACAGTTTGACTTTTGATCAACCCTTCCTTATCACTGAGCTATTTGGGGGGAGGGGGGGGAGAGAACTCATGTCAAATTTCTTTTAACCCTTATATATATTTGAAAATTACAAATGTACTTTATTGCATTTTGCATACAGTTGTTGCTGAAATAAGACGGTGTGCATGATATTTTGCAACTACGTTAACCATAGAGGATATTATTGCTTCCTTGGACTTTCCCCATGGTTATTTTGAGGATTTTTCCATAACCTCTGTAGCCAATGTGGCATTAATTACCAACGAAATTGTATGGTCATTATGGGCAAAATTTTCAGATGAGGAATCTCTTGTAGCTGTTTTGCGTCGTTTGTACGGTGTTCCTGACACAGTCAAGGCAAATTTCAACAGGCTCAAATCATTTGTTGTTGCATTCAGGAAATGTGCCAAGACTGCTGCTAAGAAGATTGTCTTCTGTGGTGAGAAGTTTAATATCTTAAAAGTTTTCCCATCTTTTACAGGTTCTTCTTCTGTTGAAGTTTTTTCAGTTAGTGCTCCCGAAAGTGGTGATAATTCATTGCTTTCTTCTTCTATTTCATCCTCAGCTGAAAGCATGGCTGATTTTTCTTCAGTTTCCACATCAACTCCACTGAGACCAGGCCAGCCAAATTATAAAAGCCCCGGCAAAAAAATTTTGAAGAGCCGAAATCTTTCTTTACAGCAGTCTCTTTCTGATTATGAGAAGGTGATTGCTGATCTTAAAGCTGAAAATAAGAGCCTCAAGAGAAAATATTCCGCTCAATTATCTGCAAAACAATGGACAACTCAGACCCTTCAGAAAAAATCGAAAATGCTCCAGGATTCAATCGAGAAAATTTCTGCCCCAAAAAATGTTGGTGAGGTATTGAGGATTTGAATGCAACAATGGCTAATAGATTTGAGTCCAAGAAGGTCCAAACCAGCAATTTAGTTTTGATCCCAAAAAATCAGTTTTCCCCAGTGGATGGCTATTCCGGATCTATTTTTTGGGATGAAAGCCATAAGGACAGAATTTTTATTTCTTTACCTGTTGCACGGAAAACTAATTCTGAAATAACATCTAACAATTTGCATCTCCGAGCTAAGATGTTGCATATTGTCTCAGCATTAATTTCTGGTGTCGATGAAAAAGACACTGACGAAGAAACTTTTTTACAAGAAATTGGTTTGCTTTTTGAACACCACATTCAACACCACAAAAATGATGTTTTCCAAAGTTCTGTAGATGAATGCCTCAAATCTAAAATCTGGCCGCATTTAACAGTTGTTCAGGCGGTAAACCTTAGACTTTGTCTTGATTTTCCTTGGGCAACTTTGAGACGTCTGAAAACCACCCTGGCAGCCTATGGAATTACAATTTTTCCTTCAGAATTATCCATGCGTTCTCATGAGAAAACTTTTTTGCCCTGAAAGTGAACTTGAAACCAAAATTGTACTAATAGACACAAAAAATAAGGGTGATGATGAAAGAAAACTTGTGGAGGTGCAAGTGTCCCAGGTGAAGAATTTGCTTGAATATATGACTCAAACAATTCAGAGCATGCTGCAAAAAGACAGTGACTGTTTCGGTCAAGCAAGCAAAGTTTTTATCTTTTTTTCGGGTGACAAAGGAGACAAGAGCAGGAAATTTCATTTCTCTGTCTGTTCTCCAAAAATTAGTGGGTCAGCATTTTCATGTAAAATATATTCTTTGTTTGCAGCTGAGGATACACATTAAAACCAAATGAAGGCCATGGCAAATTTTGGGGAAGATTTTCAACGCATGCAGGACTCAAGTTTCAAAATATGCAGACTTCCTGTCACTGTTCTTTTCGGAGGTGATTACAAATTCCTGTATGCAACTCTGGGACATCAAGGTGCATCTGCATCTTTTCCTTTATTTATGACCAGGTTAGTTTGGATCATCTCCAAAACCACCCCAAAAGTCCACACACTCCTGAATCCTGTAATATTCCCTTGTGCCATATTATTGATTGTGTTGAATTATGCAGAAAATGTTGTTGATGATTTTTTTTTTTTTTTTTCAAGAAAAAAGGAAGAGATCATTTGTCAGTTGTCAGCTGTGCTGTTTATCCTATAAAGTCCTTGGACAATGTTGTTCTTCCTACTTTGCATGTGACTCTCTGGGTAGTTACAAAGTTTTTTAGGATTTTGGAAATATATGCCTGGGCCATTGATCAAACTTTGGGAATTACCACAGAAGTTGAGAGGAAAATTTTGGAAATTGAACAGAGACAAAGGGACACGCTTGCAGAAAAACAGGTGGCCCAGAGTGAATATGAGGGGTACTGCAAGCGTCTTCTGGACATCCAAAATATTCTCAGTCGTCTTGAAATCGTGGAGAAACATAAAAAGCAGGGCGTCAGCACACTTTCGAACAAGAATAACTGGCCAAAAACGCAATGAGCGGGAAAAGAGGTTGGCATCCTAAAAAAATTCTGAGATTCTTCAATCATGTGGCAGAAATCTAGAAATCTGCCTTGTTTTGTAAATGAAGACACTGATTCATACAGAGACCACTGGGTTATGTGTGACTAATGTGCTCAGTGGCAACACATGATTATCCGAAAGACCCTCTTTGTCTGAAATGTCACAAGTTCCATGTCAAATTTGAATACAAAACATCAAAAAAGTGTACAGTCAGCTTATTCTCATTTAAAGATACCATTTTGTCCATTGAACAGGAACTGAAAAACACTGTGGGGCCAACAGAAAAAAAAAAAATTGATCAAATGTTACAGGAAATGGACATAAAAAGACAGGCATACCACGGTGGCCTTTTTGTTGGCAATCACTGCAAAGTTATTTTGTCCAAAAATAAGGCTGGCATTTATAACTTCACAAAACTTTGCAGTGCCTTGTCCCCTCCGTATTCTGATGTCGACCACCATTTGACAGAACTTTTTGAACTGTATTCAAAGGCCCATCAGATCATGGTACTGCAAACATTTTTGAGTGATCATCAACTGGATGATCTGGAATTTTGTTGTCAGAAAATGGGAGAAAAATTTCCCATCAGAACTGATCAATGCAAAACTCCATGATTTTATTTTTCATCTTCCTTGTTTGGCCAGAATTCATCGAAGTGTAGGACTTTTCAGCGAGGAAGGTGGGGAGAGTTTGCATCACTTCATAAAAAAAAGATCAGCGTACGTATGCCTGTGTTAGGGACCCTGGTTCAAAACAAGAGTGATTAATACATAAGCATGCCCTTAAAGGTGAAGTGGATAGATCTTCTGTTGTCCCGGTTTCCAAAAAGTGTAAAACTTGTAATGAATTTTACAAAGGTGGTGTTTGTTCTTGGCTGAATGAACCCTCTGCATCTGGATCCTCTTAACTGAGTGTGAAGCTGCATTGACTTGATTCAAGCAGGATCATCATCTGCTTCATTGAAGTCTTTTTCTTCTAAAATCTAATAATATTTGTCATAAAAACATTCAATTTGAAAAAAAGTTTGTATTTTCTAAAAAGCAAAAATTCTTGACTTGTCTGCATTTCTTCCTTTGATGCCTTGTGCTGTTAAGCACCTTTCTGATGACAGTGTGTATTTTGTCACACAATCTCAAAATGATTCGTGTCTCACAGACTTGAAAGAAAAAACCTTGGAAAGTGGCATTTAGTTGACAGTTTCCAATTATGATTTGATTATGATTTATGCTTTTTCTTTTTTTTGAAAAAATAATTCCCCATTAATGTGGAAAATTTTTTTTAGAACTATAAAAAAATACAAAATTTCCACTATTTTTTTTACATTTTCACCCCTGAAAAAAAAAAAAAAAAAATTTCATGGACTCAATTACACCAGCCAATTTTACTTTTAAATGAAACAACATACTGTTTGCTTTCAGAAAATACCTACTTTCATGGAATTATGACATTTCACCAGATAATGGACTAAAATATTGAAATTTTTTAATTTTGCCTTATTTTTGATCCCCTGAGAATTTTTTTTTCTTCAACTCTCAATTTAATGGCTGAAATTGTTTGATTATGATTTAGGCTTTCTGATTTTCAAAGAAAAAAAAGGTTAATTTCCTATTATTGTGGAAAACATTTGTTTAGAACTATAAAAAAAAAAGCAAAATTTTCACTATTTTTTCACATCTTACCCCCCAATTTTTTTTTTGACTCAATTACACCAGCCAATTTTATTTTTAAATGAAAGAACATACTATTTGCTTTCAGAAAATACCTAGTTTCATGGTATTCAGATCAAAAGTTTTTGATATTTTATTCAGATGATGACAAAACTGTCATTTTTCAAGATTATACCTTATCTTACCACTATAAAAGTATGAAAATCCAATTTTTATTTAGAGAAAATAGGTTGTGACAAATGACTTGCTATTTTTGTAATGATTTATACTTGGGATAGAAAATTCTTACCATAGACCTGAATTGATTTTATTTAAGCTTAGTATGACTATAGGAACCCTCAAACAGCTGTGAGATTATATATATATACACACACACACCATTGCCCAAAAGTTTGGTGCCACCCTCTAGATATAATAAGTTAGTTTCATGCCTTCTTTGGTTTAATTAACTCCTACTAAGCTAGGATGCCAAAACTATTTAAGCCATTAGTGCATGGTGTCCAATTTTTTGGGGTGGGTGGGGAGGTAGCTAAAATTAAAAAATCTACCAGCTCTAAGATTACCATTAAACAGCACAGTGGATTAGGCAAAAGAACTAGAATTTTAAGCAAACTTTATACAGTAATGGGTTAATTTCATTATTATGATTATTGAATATAGGATAAAACCCTGAACTGGACTAGAGTCAAATCACACAGAAACATCAGTTCTCATTTGCTCACCTAAGTTAAGTGTTGAGCCTGGTCAGTACTTAGATGGAGGACCTCTTGAGAAAACTGAGTACTGTTAAGTGCCCAGGTTGCTGACCATTGATCGAGACAATAAAACTTTCTTAGTTTATCCTTTCTATTAAGTTTACTATTTTCAGAATTGAAAATGCTTCTTTTAATACCTGAATTTAAATGATTTATTTTCAGATTGAATTTGTTGATGAGCTTCCAAAAACTGTCAGTGGAAAAATTCGTCGAGTTGAATTGAGAAATAAGGAGTGGCACAAAGTCAACAACTGAATGATTTCATTTTTTAACAACTTATTAGTATTAACCAGTGTATAATATAATTAGTACCATGATAACTACTTTATTTTTGCACAAAGTAATGAAATTAATATTTGTGAGTGAAAAAAAATTTTTTAACCAATATTTTGGGTCAATCACAACCAATACTTAAAAATTGGAAATTTAATAATTATTTTTTAATAATTTAGTCTTTAGTAAATATCTAGAAATGTATTTTCTTGCTCATCCCATAAATGAAAGAATTAATGTATTTCTTTTTAAATGTTTGACAACTACTCAAGAGAACCATATACACACACACACACACACACACACACAAAATGTGAGAAAATATGTAAATTTTTATATACCAGAACAATGTGAGGAAAATTAATGACAAAATGGGAAAATTTTGGGGGACACTTATTACCTTTAAGACTTAATTGAACTAAAGTGTTTACATTATGTAACTACACATGCACACAAAGGAGATAGGGGATGCTGAAATTTAAATCCTTTTAAATATGTGTTTGCTAATAGTCTCACCAATTTAATTTCATTTTCACTCTTGTTATTCAGTATCTTACCTTGAGATAATAGATCTGTCAAGAAAGGTGAAAGAACATGGATGAAAATTTAATGCAGATGATCTAAAATATATAGGATTAATAGCTGAATTTTCTAGACAATTTTTTTGTAATTGTTCAGTTCACTCATCAGGAAGTTTCAACAATTCATTATCTTTATACTAAGTTTGAATTAATTATGTGCTACTTATTGGTGTTGAGTTGATTTTTTTTTCTTTTTTTACTTCAAGAGACCACTACAAAGAGAAGATGAATCACCCATCTACATGTAGTAGAGTTTTCTGGTGATAACTGCATTTATACCCAAAATATTTTACTAAAGGAACTCCTAAAGTAGCAATTAGTTCTATAGATGAATAAATTTTGAAGTGAGATATGTTTATATTCTAAATGATGATATCATTTATTATAACTTTTCATTCCTAACATGGAGGTAAAGGAGGTTGACATTTTAATGTCTCTACTTAATTTTTATTTGTAGTTAAACATTTAGAAATTACTGAATACAAACAAGAAAAAGCATAGAAACAATGATTGTGATATAAATACAATACAGTATAAAATTACTTAAATGTTGTTGTATTTAACAATAGATAACTTTGTTATAACTTAACCCAGTCTGAGATTGTAGACAATTTAAATTTTTACATTATTCCAATTAAAAAAAAAAAAAAAAAATTAATACCCCACATTTATATTTTTTAAAACTCTTTAATTTTATTTTGCTGTTTTGAATCTCTACAAGTTCTAAGACTTCTTGGCAGGAATAACAAACTAATTTTACTTTTGAGATTAGTTTGAGAAAAAAAAAAAAAAAAAACCACTATGTATCATGAGATTAACAGAATTTAGAAAGCACATCTAAATAAGTGTAAAAGCCTGTCCATTGGAAAATTCGGAATTCAAGTCCTGTTTCCCTCTGATAATGGAGATAAATTTAACTTTGAATTTGTGACAATCACAAGCTAAAGCTTAATATATTTAAATTAGATGTGGTACCTATATTTTGACTCAATATATGAGCATTTTTACTTTAATCAAAAATACATTTGGCAAGTAAGTTATCAAATCCAATGTTTCCATTTTCCAAAAGCAAACAATTTGTGACAAATTGTGCACATATAGATCAAAATAAGACAAACGAAAGACTCAAAATTCTGGAAGCAGCCAAAATTAAATAGGTTGTCTTTTTCCTTAGATTGTATATTGAAGTGTATACATATAAAATGCATGTATAAATTCAGGAAGTCCCACCCAAGTGCACCTATAGTCTGGTAACATCTGAATCTTTTACAAAGTTGTAGAATTCTATAACCAGTAAGTACTCATTTGGTTGATGTTAAAAACATTGTTTTCTGCAATCCATGAATAAACTTATTTTTGGTGTACTTTGAATCCTCTTTTCTTTTGAACTTCATTTGTTAATTGCCTGATTTTGTTTAGTACATGTTCAGTAAACAATCATCTATTAAGTTATTTACACTAAAATTAAGGCAAAAAAAAAAAAAAAAACTCGCCATCTGACCTTCCCAATCTATATGGACATTCAGCATCAACAATTTCTACTATCCTA